CAGTGTGGTAGGGGAAGAGACGGTAGTAAGGCACCGACTCGTCAAAGGTGACGTCCTGGGAGGACAGAACACGACGCGAGGTGGGGTGGTAAAACTGCCAACTAGGCGCGTTAGAGGGGAAGCGAAGGAAGACACAGGGAACAGTACTGGGGGACAGCTTGTCCGCAGACAAGTCGCGGACAAACGCCCGAGATCCCTTGACCCGAAACGCAGATGCATCGCCAACTTTCCCCGTCCACCGCAAGGTGGGGGAGGTCTCTGGCAAGGAGACCCGGGGCTGAAGGTTGAGCTGATGCGCTGTGTACTGAACCGCAAACGGCCACAGAAAATGGGGAGCAACCGCATGGATCATGGACGTACGAGCGACGTCCATGACCATGCCAATGCAGCGCTCAGCAATCCCATTTTGCTGTGGAGAGGTCGAAAGCGTGAAGGTCTGGCGGATGCCCTGTGCACGACAGAAGGCTCCCAGACGGGCAGAGGAAAACTCCCCGCCTCTGTCAGAGTGCAGACGCAGAACCGGAAAGTCCGAGCCGAAATTCTCTCTGAGCTGGAGACGAGCTGCGCGGATCCAGTCGATCAACACCTCAGCGACGTCACCCTTGCTGCGCAAGGGGAACACCGTGGAGTAACGCGAGTAGTCGTCAACCACCAACAGGAAGTAACCCTTGTGACCCTGGCCATGGACGCGGGCGGGGCCCTACACGTCCATGTGAAGAGTCTGCAGCGGAGCCTCTGTCGGAGGAAACTGGGAGGAGTGAGGGGTGGCGCGCTGTCGCCCCTCGACGCAGGGGACGCAGGTAGGGGCAGGCCCCGGAGGTAGGGGAGGTAGGGACCGGGGGAGACCAGAGACAAGGACACGGGAGGCCATGCCTCGGAGACGAGGCAGGGAGGGGTGACCAAGGCGGTGGTGCCAGAGGAGAGTCTGGTGGGACAGGAGACGACACGAGCAGGGCGCAGACTCAGGACAAGACCTGGACGCTGCAGCAAACACCTGTCTCGACGCAGCTACCTGACCAGACTCAGCAACCGGAGGAGACTCAGTAATCAGTGTGTACAGGCTCGACCCCGGCCGACGGTTAAAAATGGCCAAGTGTCGGCCCGTCCGAGCACACGTGTAGTGGGTCACCCGCTGACTCGCAGGAGTGAACTGGTCAACCCCCCTATCCTGTAGATCAGCTCCACTCACCAAGTTCGTAGAGAACGAGGGGAGGTAGAGACCTGACAGGGTGCCAGAGGGGGCTGCCGGGCACGGTAAGACAGTGGAGAAGCTAGCAAGGACAGGACCCCCAGAGGGGTCCGCCAGGGAGACTGCAACCGGCCGACTAAGCGGCGTAAGCGTGGTGCGGTCTCGAAAGAAGGAGCGGGAAGCACTCGAGTCAAGGGTGAAGGTGTGTAAGGCCTGAGCCGACGTAGTACCTTAGAGAGCAGACTCACCAGCACCTGGGGCAGCAGACGCACTAGCACCTAGAGCAGCAGCCTCACCAGCACCTAGAGCAGCAGCCTCAATGCCTGGGTCAAGCGGAACACACAGGTAACAGCCACCCTCATCACTAGTAGACACAGCATACATGGCGGCAAGAATAGCATCATAATCAAGATCAAAGATAGCAACCCCCGCCCTAGACAGCTCTCCCCAACGAGGGATCTCAGTGGCGTCACGGAACCGGTGACGCCACGCGTCCGTCAGGCGGCCGAAGCAGCGCTGGGTGGAGTGCGGGCCCCCGTACTGCTCACCAGCGTGGTCGCCGGTACGGAGGACGTAGGTGCAGGGACCAGTACCCCCACCGCGCTGACGCCCAGCGTACCACTCACGAAGCTACTGAGGGGACAGGGTCTCACGACTGCGCTGCTGCTGCTGGCGCGGACCACCACCGAACCCACTCCTCTGCGCAGAGCCGCGACTAGCTCCACCGCTGCCGCCGCCGCCTCCGCCACCTCCGCCGCCTCCGCCACCTCCGCCGCCTCCGCCACCTCCGCCGCCTCCGCCACCTCCGCCGCCTCCGCTCCCTCCGCCACCGCCGCCGCCTCCTCCGCCTCCACTGCTGCCACCGACACCTCCACCCCCGCCACCACTCCCACCACCACCCCCACCCCCTCCACTGCCTCCACCACCACCTCCACCACCCCCGCCAGCCCCTCCAGCGCCCTTGCCCCCCTTGCCCTTGTCGGTGCGGCGTCTCCCGCTAGGGGCAGACGCAGCGCCAACCGACTCGAAACCAACGAGGTCGGCCGCAGCAGCAGAAGCAACAGAGGGCAAGAGGGGGGAGGGGGAACACCCCTAAAAGACGGGGTGCGAGGGTCACCACGAGAGGCTCCTACAGCGACTATGCTCTTCTCTGCTGCTAGGAGGCGCTCCTCGAGGAGGTCAACGGTGAGTGTGGTGGGGCAAACTGAGAGAAAGTGGTCCCTGACTAAGCGAAGGGAGTCAGGGAGGCGGGTGACTATGTAGTAGAGGGTGATGTACATGGGGGGGGGGGTTCTTGGCACAGAACTCAGCAGGAAGCGCAGCGCGGTAGCGAGTGTCACTAGTGCGAAGGTGCGTAATGAGGTCAGCGACTGTGGGAAAGGCAGCAAGGTCAGGGAACAGGTACGGCAGCATGAGGCGGCTAAGAGCAGCAGTGGCAGGGGAGGAGTAGCGTGCAACTACAGCGTCGTACAAGGTCTTAGCACTCTTGTAGTGGCTAAAGTGCGCACGCTCAGTGGTCGGTAAGTGGCGACGCACAGCAAGACAGGCAGCAGCATCGCGTGTGGCCCACTGTGAGCGAACAGTGCTGTCAGCAGTACCAGGCGGGGCAGGAGAGGCACCAGAGGTGAGATTGAACAGGGAGAGTCCGTCTGCCCTATCGCACTCTAGGAACAGCTGGAGGTCATCGACCTAGACCTCAAAGTCAACAGCACGACCCTCAGCATCAAAGGTAAGGACACTGGGGGTAGCCATGACTGCAGTGGCCTAGTAGGGAGTGATCTCACCAGTCCGAGTAAGTAGGGCCGGGGCGCGCCGGCAGGAATAGTAGCGGCTCGACGGCAGGGCGGCTCGGCGGCTCGGCTGCTGGGCGGCTCGGCGGCTCGGTTGCTGGGCGGCTCGGCGGCTCGGCTTCTGGGTGGTTCGGCTGCTGGGCTGCTCAGCGGTGAAGGGGCCGGTAGAGGCGGCGACGGGGCCGGTAGAGGCGGCGACGGGGCCGGTAGAGGCGGCGATGGGGCCGTTAGGGGCGGCGACGGGGCCGCTAAGGGCGGCGAGGTGGCCGCGAAGGGCGGTGACGGGGCCTCCAGGGGCGGCGACGGGGCCGCTAGGGGCGGCGACGGGGCCACAGAGGGGCCGCAAGGGGCCTAGAGGGGCGGCGACGAGGCCGCGAAGGGGCCGTAAGGTGCATAGAGGGGGCGGCGACGGGGCTGCAAGTGGCGGCGACGGGGCCACGAAGGGGCCGCGAGGGGCCTAGAGGGGCGGCGACGGGGCCGCTAGGGGCGGCGACTGGGCCGTGAAGGGGCCGCGAGGGGCCTATAGGGGCGGCGACGGGGCCTAGAGCGGCGGCGACGGGGCCGTGAAGGGGCCGCAAGGGGCCTAGAGCGGCGGCGACGGGGCCTAGAGCGGCGGCGACGGGGCTGTGAAGGGGCCGCGAGGGGCGTAGAGGGGCGGCGACGGGGTCGCTAAGGACAGCGACGGGGCTGCTAAGGGTGGCGCGAGGGGCCTCTAAGAGGGCGCGACGTGAGGGCGGCCTACGGGGCACGCCTCGGGCAGGAAAAAAAAGATCGAGTTAGGTGGTGGGCCCTGAGAAGCGTTCCCACGAGGGAACCTGCTCTATACCATGTGAAAAATTAGGAATGAATGAACTAGCAAGCAGGTGGGTACAAGTAGGAAAACCTAGAAATGTTGTACCCCATATAGCCTACCCCACTACAGCTTACACAGACTATTGCATATAAGTTTGACACGCAACCCTCGAGGAGCCCGAAGGATCGATTTCTTACTCCGCTGGAAGGACCGTACACCCACCGAAGACAATTGGGTTCCCCTGGACAGAATCGAAAACCACCCCGTCCTCACCGAGTATCTGCGCAGCCGAAATTTCAGGGATGTACACGCATTTTCGTAAGGACCTCCTTAAGGGGAGGGGGTAGTGTAAGGAAAATTAATTTTCCTTACTTCACATCCCTGCTAAATGCGTACATCACTGTAGCACCACATTCAGCACCGTTACCACTCGCAACCCTCTCATCGACAATCCGCCCGCCACTTTCGCACATCACACCCCGACCTTATGGCTCGGCGGCTAACTCCCGCTCCGGGCCTCCGCTTCGACACTTTTTCCAACCTCAGTCCCAGGCCCGTCGCGCAACAACCACAGTCCATTACCGTTACCACTGTAGTTTCGCTATATATTCTTCGCTCATGCATTCGCTAAACCCTAAACCCTAAACCCGAAACCCTAAACTCTATGGCTGGATGTGTTATGCCTAATATTCCTAAGCTTATCCCTCTTCACTGTAGGCACACTTCTCATGCGTACTAAACAGACTCGCGGTACCCTATGAAACGCTAACCATCTCATCCAGCATCACCTTCAGGAAGCCCAAGGTGGCACGAGGAACCAGCAATGAACAGCTTCACTTTCGATCCATTGAGAACTCCATTGGTCCATCTCGCGCACTCCCTCACACATCTACCTGACAAACACAAACAACTTCCTGACACTATTGCGTGACGCAATAGTGAACAGGCACCGTTGGTACTCCTGGTTCATTGCATTCATGAACAGGCTAGTCGTTTGTAACAGGCGTCAGCAACCTCAATTCAGCATCCGAGGTTGGCTGGTGATGGCGGCAACAGGTGCTTTTTGAGCCTGAAACGTCACCGCTGAACAACGTTCCACAGTAATCTGAGCTGATGCCTTGTGTCAGCGTCAGCCGACAGAACGGATTCTGAACATGCATTTTCCGTAGTCTTACTTCAGTTGCTGAATCCCTAACTTATCCTGATTGAACTGCAATTATCCGCGAAAATGTGGGGTTTCGCGCTCGAGCCGTCGAAGCGTATCGGAGGCGTGTCGCCTCCTCGCCGTCCGATCAGGCATCGACCCGGGGCGTCCAGGAAAGCCAGCGGAATTTTGGGCTGGATTCCCGGTGGAGCTGGTAACAGCTGGCGAACGATCTGCTCGCCGGTAATCGCTCTCGTGGTGATCTGGCTGCTGGGAATGATCATCTGGAACAGCGGGATCATCAGGTACGAACCCGAGACTATCTTTTGGTGCCTCAAACGCGCGAATTGCTTGTGAACAAAAGGATCTCCCTCGTGGTGATCTGACTGCTGGAAATGATAATCTGGAACAGCGGGATCATCAGGTTCGATCTCGTGACGAGATTCAGACCTGTATGAAAATTCGCCTTCTAGCACTTGAAATTCGAGTAAAGGCTGGGAATTCTCCCGCATTGGTTTCTCATGCCGTTCTCTGTTCCCCGCTTCACGTTTTCTTCCCCTTTCTTTCGGCTGAACGGATGTCCTTTTCTCGGTCCTGCACTGCAGCCTTAAGATGCAAACTACAGCTCCATCCGACTCACCTACTGGTCTGGACGCATCATCTGAGTACCGCGGCGATGATGCTGCTTCCTTGGGTGATGGTTCCACCGACGACAGCCCGGATCTCATATTTTCTTCCCTCTCCTTCGATTGGATGCCTTGTTCCCTGTCCTGCACTGCAGCCTTAAGAAGCAAACCACAGCTCCATCCGACTCACCTACTGGTCTGGACGCATCGTCTGAATACGGCGACGATGCTGCTTCTATGGGGGATGGTTCCACTGATGACAGCTCAGATCTCACTCCCTCCTTTACCAATAAGATGTCGTCTGGTGGTGGATACGGGGGAGGCTTGGGAACAGGCTCGAGAGCAGGATCGGGAGCAGGATTCGGAGCAGGCACGGGAGCAGGTTCGGGAGCAGGATTTGGGGCAGCGGATGAGGGTATGGATTCCGAGGATGGGGACGGGGAGACAGGCCTGGCGTCGGGATTCCCAAGGTCCACTAGCACCACTGGCGCTGGTCGGTTGGGGGGTCTGAATTCAGGAGATTCATCCAGAACTTCCGCCTGGAATGCCCCTGGTGGTGGCAACAGGGGCGGGTTGGGGGCAAGTGGAGGGGATGATGAGGATGACATGATGGGAAGTGGTGGGAGTGGTGGGTCGAGGGATGGATTTGGCTCCAGCAGCAGCAGCAGAGACGGTATGTGGGGTGGTAGCGGCAGTGGTGGTGCTGGTAGATTCGGGGGAGGTGGTGCTGGGGCAGGCGGAAGCAGGTGGGGAGGGGGAGGCGCGTCCACATGGGGTGGAAGAGGGGGGTCGGCGGGTATGTCCGCAGAGGATGAGGACGAGGATGGGAAGGGGAGCGCTGGTGGTGGTGGGCTCGGGGTTTCCAGCAGTCGTGTGCCTAAAACGGGGTCAAGATCGTGGGGAATGGATGATGAGGGGGATATGGAGACTGGTGTCAGTGGGAATAGGGGTGGATTGGGATCCAGAAGTGGTGCTGGTGGGTTTGGTAGAGGGGGGAGGAGTGGGGGGAGGGTGAGAGGAGGTGAGGAGGAAGAGGAAGGGGAGGAGGAAGAAGAGGAGGAAGCGGGAGGGGAGGAGGAGGAAGAGGAAGAAGAGGAAGAGAGCGAGGAGGGAGAGGAGGGGGATGAGGATGAGGAGGAGGAAAGTGAGCGGGTACGGGGCAGGGGGGGGTCCAAACGGAAGAAGGGAGGACGGCGGGGGAAAGGTGCTGCAGCGGATGAAGATGAGGAAGAGGAGGAGGAGGAGGAGGATGGAGGAGAGGGAGGAGACGAGGAAGAGGAGGAAGATGAGGAGGAGGAGGTATCTAGTAGTAAGAAGGGGAGGAAGGGCCGTGGTGCTGCTAGGAAAAAAACTGGGACAGGAGGGAGGAAGAGAAAAGGAAGCTATGATGACGAGGAGGAAGAGGAAGAGGAGGAGGAGGAGGCGGAAGAAGCAGAAGAGGAGGAGGAGGACGGAGGTAGAAGCAGGAGGAAGAAGCGAGGTGGCGCATCCAAGAAGGGGCAGAAGGGGCGGAAGGGGAAGAAGGGGAAGAAGAGGAGGAAAGGGAAGAAGATGGGAAAGCGGGATGCAGAGGAGGAGGATCTTGATTCGGTGGACATAGAAGGGAAGAAAGCGGTCAACGAGGCTGAGAGAGCGGAGGAGGAGGCAGAACGGGCAGTGGCAGAAGCAGATGGGGAGACAGGCACTGGGAGGTGGGGCTCTGGAGGAGGAGCGGGTGGGGAGGATGAGAGTGAGGGGGAGGGCGGTAAAACGGCTGTGGAAAGCGCGGTTCAGAGCATGCCGGAGAGCGATGTGGCGCGGATATACTACTCTGTGAAGACTGCCCAACGAGGTGCGTCAGGTGGTTAAGCCAGTCTAACAGTGTTTGAGTAAGCTGGACTGGATATTGCGTTTCATAACATGCCGGAGAGTAACGTTGCACAGATGTATGACTCTGTGAAGACTGGCCAGTGACGTTGCACAGATGTATGACTCTGTGAAGACTGGCCAGTGACGTTGCACAGATGTATGACTCTGTGAAGACTGGCCAGTGACGTTGCACAGATGTATGACTCTGTGAAGACTGGCCAGTGACGTTGCACAGATGTATGACTCTGTGAAGACTGGCCAGTGACGTTGCACAGATGTATGACTCTGTGAAGACTGGCCAGTGACGTTGCACAGATGTATGACTCTGTGAAGACTGGCCAGTGACGTTGCACAGATGTATGACTCTGTGAAGACTGGCCAGTGACGTTGCACAGATGTATGACTCTGTGAAGACTGGCCAGCGAGGTGCGTCAGTCAGTCAGGTATAGAATGCGTTCATGTTTTGAGTGAGTAGGTGAGTAAGCCAGAGTACCCCAATGCTAATGTTTGAGTAAGCTGGATAGCACAGTTCAGAACATGCCAGAGAGTGATGTGTATCAGATACAAGTAAGGTGAGTCTAGTGTGGGAGTGATTCATAGTTTGAGTGAGAGATTTTTTTGGAATTCCCATGATTTATTAGAGTTTTTGTGATTTTTGAGATTCTTGAAAAATCGCTTCACAGATATATGTGAAGACTGCCGAGCGAGATGAGTCTGGTACTGAGTGAGTCAGAGTTTGGATGAGAGAAGACGGCATGATGTCAACCCACCGGCTGCCAAACGAGGTGACTTTTGAGTCGACTCAAAATGCACCTTTTGAGTCGACTCATGAGTCAGAGTTTGGATGAGAGAAGACGGCATGATGTCAGTCAACCCACCTGCTGCCCAACTCAGGGTGTTCCGGCACATCTCGGGGACACCCGTGACGGGGCAGCAGGTGCTGCTGGACTCAATTTCTCCGCACTCTTCTCCTGTGTATGACTATTGCAGGCGTGGAGTCGGCTCAACTAGATGACGAGGAGGAGGAAGAGGAGGGCATGTCGACTCACCGGCTGCGCAACGTGGCGTTCCTGCGCATCCCAGGGACGCCCGTGACGGGGCAGCGAGTGCTGGACTTTGAGCGCCAGCTGGCGTGTGTGTCGCGCGACGGGCTGTGGGCGGTGAACTCGACGCCAAGGTGGATGCCGTGGGACCTCAACCCGCTGAGTATTGATCGCCAGCCCAACTACCGCTCCTGCGACCTGCTCTTTGCCAAAAGGTGCGGCGTGGTGCCGCAAGGTATGGTGTGGTACGGATGAGGTACGGCGAGGTATGGTGCGGTACAGTGTGTTGGTTACACAGGGGATTCATCCTATTGCTCTTTGAACTCGACTCCACGTTGGATGCCGTGGGACCTCAACCCGCTGACTGTCTCCCGCCAGCCCAACTACCGCTCCTGCGACCTGCTCTTTGCCAAAAGGTGCGGTGTGGTGTGGTCCAGTGTGGTACGGGGACTGGATGAGGTGCAGATACTTGTCACTGTGCGAGCCACCTCTCCTGTAGCTTGCTACAGTTTCTCCTCCCAACCTGCTCCTGTGTGGCCTATCCCATCTCAGAAAGGGCGGAGTGTTTGGGGCGCAGCGGAGAGGGCGAGGCGAACTTCCAACGCAAGGGCGGCATGGCGGGTGCGCAAGGAGCTGCTGTACCAGTGGCGCCCCGCCAGCCCACGCCGCTGCCACCCCTTCCTCCCGTTCCACCTCACTAGTAGCTGGTTTACATGCCTGCTTGCCTCCTGCCCCATCTGTCCCTCTTCCTCTCCCTCCGACCCAACGCCCCTGTCGTGTTTCTCCCATTCAGGAAGGGCGGAGTGTTTGGAGCAGCAGCGGAGCGCGCACGGAGGTTGCCCAATGCAAGAGCGGCATGGCGGGTGCGCAAGGAGCTGCTGTACCAGTGGCGCCCTGCCAGCCGCCTCCGCTGCCCCTCCCACCCGTTCCACCCACCACACTAGCTGATTTCCAAACCGCCCCAAAACAACATGCTTGCTTCCTGCTCCCGCCCTCCTCCCCACCTAATGAACCCTCCCGTCCCTTCAGGAAGGGAGGTGTGTTTGGGGCGGCTGCAGAGCGGGCGAGGCGATCCCCTAACGCAAGGGCGGCATGGCGGGTGCGCAAGGAGCTGCTGTACCAGTGGCGCCCCGCCAGCCCCCGCCGCTGCCCCTTCCAGCAGTTTGACCGCGCGGGGTTCTGCCGCGCTGTGAGGGGGCGCAACGTGGTGGTGGTGGGAGACGCGTTCAGCCTGGACTGGCACGACTCTCTTCTGAACCACCTCGTCACTGCGGGCACTAAGAACAAGGCAGGGCAACTGGGCGATGCCTGGTAAGTCGTTTAGGTGCCTCAAGAAGGAGTGGGTGTGAGGGGGCGGGCGCAACGTGGTGGTGGTGGGGGACGCGTTTAGTCTCGACTGGCACGACTCTGCTCAACCGCCTTGTGACTGTGGGGACTAAGAACAGGGCGGGGCAGCTGGGCGATGCCTGGTAAGGCCTAGGTTGGGGCTTCCTGAAGTGCCCTCAGGAGTGGCTGTGAGGGGGCGCAACGTGGTGGTGGTGGGGGATGCGTTTAGTCTCGACTGGCACGATGCGTCTTGAGTCTTGACTGCTCAACCACCTTGTCACACTGCACAAACCAAGCACAGGGCAGGGCAACTGGGAGATGCCTGGTAAGTCCTGCGGTGCCTGAGGAGTGGGTGTGAGGCTGTGAGGGGGCGCAACGTGGTGGTGGTGGGGGACGCGTTCAGCCTCGACTGGCACGACTCTCTCCTCAACCACCTTGCCACTGAGGGGACCAAGAACAAGGCAGGGCAGCTGGGAGATGCCTGGTAAGGCCTACATCGGGGACTACAGGGGGTACTGGGCGGTGCTAAAGGGTGCTAGGAGTTGCCAGGGGCTTTCTGTGGCTGTGAGGGGGCGCAACGTGGTGGTGGTGGGGGACGCATGCAGCCTCGATTGGTATGATGCTCTTCTCAACCACTCGTGCATCTTTCCCTCCCCACCCACACGCCAGGGCCAACGTCACCGAGGGGGCGTGCTTTGAAAGGGGTCACCGCCTCTGCACCGACGTCCCCCTTATTCCCCCTTCCACCCCCACCACCACTGCTGTTGCTGCTGCTGCTGCTGATGATGACTCCTCAACACTTGGTGACCCTGACTCTGATCCTGCCACTGCTAGTGCTGCTAATGCTGGTCGCTTCACCGCTGGTGGTCCGGCTGCTGGTGGCGGTGGTGGCAGTGGCGGTGGTGCTGGTGGCAGTGGACTTGGAATAGGCGGTGCTGGTCGCCGTTCTCGCTTCGGGGCTGCTGCTGATGCAGCTGCGGACGACACAGGGGGAGAGGACCGGCAGGACAGGGGCGAGGAGGAGGGTGCAAGGGGGGGGCAGGAAAGTAAGGAGTTGGGTGTGGTGGGTGGACTGAGAAGTGGGTTTCAGAGGAAGGGCTGGGGACGAGGCAGAGGGCTGGCTGGGAGAGTGAGGGCTGGCGATTGGGAGGGGGACGAGAGGAGTGGGGAGGCTGCTGGGCTGGGAAGCAGAGAACGGAGTGAGAGTGGTGAGGGCGAAGGGGAGTCGACAGGATTCACGAGAGTGGAAGAGGAGGAAGGTTTGGGAGCAGGAGGCGGGAGTGGGCGAGCAGGGAGGACTGGGAGGAAGAGGAGGGCAGTCGGGAGGCAGGGGGGTGGAGGGGATGTGCTGAACCAGGGGGTGAGTGAGTCATTGAGCAACAAGGAGGGCGGCACTGGTGGTGTGGTGCTGAGGAGGAGGAGGATGGCGGGGTTCAATCTGCGGGTGGTGCTGAACGCTTTTGCAGCGCCGGACACGGGGCGGCCCACGCGGCTCAACAACCGCTGGCTGAAGCGCCTCAAGAAGTGGAAGACCAGCATCCTCGTGCTCTCCCGCACCCCGGCCTTTGGCGACAGTGAGTGGAAGAATGGGGGGGATGGGGTTGAGGAGAGTTGTCTGTTGCGACCAGCGTGGCAGGTCTTTAACCTTTCAAGCGCCTCAAGAAATGGAAGACCAGCATCCTCGTGCTCTCCCGCACCCCGGCCTTTGGCGACAGTGAGTGGAAGAATGGGGGGGATGGGGTTGAGGAGAGTTGTCTGTTGCGACCAGCGTGGCAGGTCTTTAACCTTTCAAGCGCCTCAAGAAGTGGAAGACCAGCATCCTCGTGCTCTCCCGCACCCCGGCCTTTGGCGACAGTGAGTGCAGACGGGATACCCTAAAGGCAGTGAGGGACCTGTATCCGGACATGCTTGTCATCTTACTATCCCTCCCCCTTGCCTTGCCCCTATTTCCCCATCCAACCAGAGGAGCTGATGCTGCAGGAAGTGCGAGATACCCTCAAGGCTGTGAGGGACCTGTATCCGGACATGCTTGTCATCTGCTGACCTTTCCCCCTTGCCTTGCCTCTATTCCCCTGTCCAACCAGAGGAGCTGATGCTGCAGGAGGTGCGGGACACGCTAGAAGCAGTGAGGGACCTGTACCCAGACATGCTTGTCATCTAATTTTCTGTGCCCCTTGCCCCTTCATGTCTTCAGAGGAGCTGATGCTGCAGGAGGTGAGGGATACATTAGAAGCTGTGAGGGACCTGTATCCGGACATGCTCGTCATCTGGCGCAGCGCCGTGGGCGGCCATCCCAGCTGCCAGCACTTCACTCGCCCGCTCAGGACCCGGCCCGTCCTGCTGGCAGCCAAGGGGAAGATTCCCGACGTGTGGCTCCGGCACGCCGAGATGAACGCCGCTATCAGACCGCTGCTCAAGGTATGTGATTGCTCGTGCGCTCTACTTTAGGTGCATACATAGGGATCGCCGCCCTGCACCGCTGGCAGCCAAGGAAAAGATTCCCGACGCGTGGCTCCGGCATGCCGAGATGAACGCCTCTATCAGACCGCTGCTCAAGGTGTGTCTCTGAGTTGGCCCAAACTGAGTGTGATCATGCGGCTCCGCAAGGTGCAATCTGGCTCCTAACTCTCTCCCCTAATGCCTTCCTGACCTACTCCCCCCCAAACCCCCCCAGGAGTACGGGGCAGTGTACATGGATGTGACCTCTGTCCTCTCTTCCCCCCCTCCCCTCCCCTCCCCCCCCTTCACAAACCCCCCCAGGAGTACGGGGCAGTGTACATGGACGTGGACTCAGCCACCTCCCTGCGCCCTGACGGCCACCACGAGCGCATGGACGGCAGCATCAACTGCCACCACTACTGCATGCCCGGCCCGCTCGACCACTCCCTGCCTTGCTGCTGCTGCTGCTGCTGCTGCTGCTGCTGCTGCTGCTGCTGCTGCTGCTGCTGCTGGCGCTGCTGCTGAAGCTCCCTCGATCCCCTCTTGATCAAACGCCCCTCCCCACCTTATCTACTCCCCTCCAATTTCCCCCCTCCTCCGCACCCCCTCAGGAGTACGGGGCAGTGTACATGGACGTGGACTCGGCCACCTCCCTTCGCCCCGACGGCCACCACGAGCGCATGGACGGCAGCATCAACTGCCACCACTACTGCATGCCCGGCCCCCTTTCTGTTGGTGGTGGTGGTGCTGCTGCTGGTGGTGGTGGTAGTGGTGCTGATGGCTGCTGCCGCTCCTTGCTCTAACGCCCCTCCCTCCCTACTCCCCTTCACCCCCACAACCCAACCCCCCCCAGGAGTACGGGGCAGTGTACATGGACGTGGACTCAGCCACTTCCCTTCGCCCCGACGGCCACCACGAGCGCATGGACGGCAGCATCAACTGCCACCACTACTGCATGCCCGGCCCGCTCGACCACTGGGTGTCGCTCTTCCACAACCTGCTGCTGCTGCTCGACCTACATTCCCCCCAGACCGCCCTCCCTGCTTCCGCTGCTACTGCTGCTTGCTCTAACACCCCTCGCTCCCTATTCCCCCACACCCCCACAACCCAACCCCCCCCAGGAGTACGGGGCAGTATACATGGACGTTGACTCATCCACCTCCCTTCGCCCCGACGGCCATCACGAGCGCATGGACGGCAGCATCAACTGCCACCACTACTGCATGCCCGGCCCGCTCGACCACTGGGTGTCTCTCTTCCATAACCTGCTGCTGCTGCTCGACCTACACTCCCCCCAGACCACCCTCCCTGCTTCCGCTGCTGCTGCTGCTGCTGGTGTTGCTGGTGGTGTTGCTAGTGGTGTTGCTGGTGCTGCTGGTTTTGGTGGTGGCGACGGTTTGTATGGTTCTGGTTTCGGTGGTGCTGCCGGTGGTTCTGGGTCTAGTGGTGGTGGTGCTGGTGGGGTGCCAGTGGTGAAGGTGCGTGGGGTGGTGGGCGAGGGGGGAGTGGTGGTGGAAGAGGAAGACTTGTCTGATGTGCCACGGGGAGGGAGGTGGAGGAGTAAGGAGGAGATAGAGGAGGAGGAGAGGGGGAGGGAGGATGGAGGAGGAGGAGGAGGGATGGCGGGGGTAGGAGGTGCGGAAGGGTTTGAGGGAGCAGGGATTGGAGGGGGGATGGGAGTGGGAGGAGGGTTGGGTGAGGGGCAAGTGGAAGGGAGTGGTGGAGATGGGCGTGGAGGAGTGGAGAGCTCTCAAGATGCAGATGCGGTTGGTGCAGGAGCAGGGACTGTTGGTGCTGCTGCTGGTGCTGCTACTGGTGCTGATGGTGCTGCTGCTGCTGGTGCTGGTGCTGGCACCGCTGATGGTGCTGCTGATGCTGGTTTGGGGGTGTCTGGGAGTGGTGAAGCAGCAGGAGGGGTTGTAGGGGCGGGAGAACGGACAACAGCTGCAGGTGTTACAGACACAGAGGCAACAGCTTCTGCTGATGCTGGTGCTGCTGGCTCTGCCACTGCTGCTGGCACTGTCACTCCTGCTGCTGGGACTGGCACAGTCAGTGGTGGCGAAGGTGCAAGTGTTGGAGCTGGAGCGGGTAAAGAAGCAGCCACTGCCGCTGCCGCTGCCGCTGCGGCTGCAGCTGCTACTCCGGCCACTGCTGCCCCTGTTTTGGAGCGTAAGTGATTCCTTGAGTCACCCCCCCCCCCCGCCCCCGTGTCTTGTTGCTTTTCATGTGCCAACTTGTTACGTTGCACCCTTCACGTCCTCCTCACACACCCCTCTTCTCTCCAGTTCACCCCTCTTACTCCCACGTCACTGCTCTTCACCGCTCTTCCCCCCTCTTCACCCCTCTCTCCCACCTTCACCCTGTTCCCTCCCCTTCCTCCACCTATCCCAGCCTGCACCAACTTCTCGGCGTGCATCCCAGGGACGCGCATTCGCGGCGAAGAAGCAGTGGCCGAAGCACAGCAGGAGGTGTCGTGTGTGGCGGAGGACGGCAAGTGGGTGCGCTTCAACACGCCCCGCTGGCTGCCGTGGTCCCGCGACCCGCACACCAACCCACGCGCGCCGCACTACGGCACTTGTGACCTGCTACACGTGAACGAGTGAGTATGTGGGTATGCCTTGGTTTGTGCATTATGGAGCGTGCGGTTTGCCGCATATCAACGAGAGAGTGGGGTGTGAGTGAGTGAGGGAGTGACGGAGGCACAGCAGGAGGTGTCGTGTGTGGCGGAGGACGGCAAGTGGGTGCGCTTCAACACGCCCCGCTGGCTGCCGTGGTCCCGCGACCCGCACACCAACCCACGCGCGCCGCACTACGGCACTTGTGACCTGCTACACGTGAACGAGTGAGTATGTGGGTATGCCTTGGTTTGTGCATTATGGAGCGTGCGGTTTGCCGCATATCAACGAGATAGTGGGGTGTGAGTGAGTGACGGAGTGACGGAGGCACAGCAGGAGGTGTCATGTGTGGCGGAGGACGGCAAGTGGGTGCGCTTCAACACGCCCCGCTGGCTGCCCTGGTCCCGCGGCCCCCACACCAACCCTCGTGCCCCGCACTACGGCACGGCACAATTTGTATTATTGATTCGTCGTTGATGTCTGCTCGTGGAGCTTTAGTGCCCACGGAAGTAGGCCAACCGTTTCTGCCCTCCCTTCCCATCGCCCTCCCCTGGGGTTCAACCGACTCTTCCTACTCCTCTCCCATCGCCCTCTTCCTTCTCCCCTTCCGTTTCTCCTCCCATGTCCCTGCCTCCCCAACCCCACACCCCCTAACCCCCTTCCCTACCCTGCTGGCAGGACTGGGGGCAAGGGCATGTACGGCTTTGCAGCGGACAAGTTTCGGAAGAATCCAGGAGACCGGGAGTGGCACGTGCGGGCGGAGCTCAAGTACCAGTGGAAGGCCAACCGCTTCTGCCCGCCGTTCATGGGGTTCAACCGGCACAAGTTCTGTGCGGCGGTGGGGCAGCGCAACGTGCTGTTTGTGGGGGACACCACTCAGCTGGCGCTGCACGATGTGTTTCTCAACCACGTCACTACCATCGCCACTCAGAAGGAAATCGGAGACATCGCTGACGCCTGGTGAGAGAGTGAGGTGCTGTCCATGCGGTGGGGGCTGGGCTGGGGTGCCTGCTAGTGGGGGTTTGGGATGCCTGGCGGTGGGGCAGCGCAACGTGCTGTTTGTGGGGGACACCACTCAGCTGGCGCTGCACGACGTGTTCCTCAACCACGTGACTACCATCGCCACTCAGAAGAAGATTGGGGACATCGCTGACGCCTGGTGAGGGGTTCGGTGTTGGTGGGGTTGGGATGTAAGTGTGAGGGTGGGTGTAATGTACTTTTGCTGTGTGGCTTGACGTTGGGATTTGCCACGCTGCTCCTGCCCTCTGTTTCTCCGTCCCCCCTTTCTTCTTGGCTTTCTGGCAACTCCCAAATGCCAACCAAATCATTTGCTTGGGGCGACTCGAACCGCCTTTGTGCCCGAAGCCATAGAAGCTTGTTTAGGCGAGCTGCAGTCTAGAAAAAATCTTAAGCAAATGATAGTCAGTAGTAAAAATTGACCCTGTTAAAAACCGAGAATCTGAAAACTGAACTCTTATTCCACTACAGGCCCCAAGTCAAACCTTCATCAGCGCAAGCAGAATAGCATGTGGTCCCAAAGCCCTCGTCTCTCTCCTACTTTCATTGCAAAACGGCGCCCAACATCCAGCCAGTATGCGCCACCAGCACCACCCACGTGCTGTGCTCCAACATTTTACCGGGGGGCCTTCACCTTCCGTATTGCACCTGATGAGTGGTGCCCCGTGCCTTTCCCTCTGCAGGACCGCACCCAACACCAGCCGGCATGCGCAACGAACAATCCCCACATTGTGTGCTCCGACATTGTGCCGGGGGGCTTCACCTTCCACATTGCCCCTGGTCAGTCTTAATCACAATGCCCTCTCTCCCTCCCAGTGACAGGACGGCGCCCAACCCAACAACCAGCCGGCGTGTGCAACCACCAACCCCCACCTGGTGTGGTCGGACATTGTGCGGGGGGGATTCACCCTCCCTCGCCTCCACACTCCCCATCCCTCTCAATCACAGGACGGCGCCCAACAACCAGCCGGCGTGTGCAATCAACAACCCCCACGTGGTGTGCTCCGACATCGTCCCAGGGGGATTCACCTTCCGTGTCGCCCACAACAACCTGCTCACGCCCGACTCGCCGGGGGGGGGAGCGTTCAACCAACGTTGGCTGGGACACCTGAGGAAATGGAACGTATCGATTGTGGTTCTCAACAAGGGCTTCGAGCACCGCCCCAGTGAGTGCCTGTGCTTGGCTCGGGGGCCAGTGGTTGGGGGACAGTGGCTAGGGACTGACTTGCCTGGGTAAGGGGCGTTCAACCAGCAGTGGCTTTGGCACCTGCAGCAGTGGAACGTGTCTATCGTGCCACTTCACAACAAAGGCTTCGAGCGCCACCCCAGTGAGTGCTGCTGCTTCACAGGCAGATGAAGTGGCTGATTGGACTGTGTTGTGGAGGTGGTGGAGCGTGGTTCAGGTTGTGTCTAAGCAGCTTCAGCTGGGGTACCTGGACTGGACATTGCGGAACGTGTTCACGTTAAATTCTCAGCTGAATGTTCGAGAATCGGCTTGATGATCTTTTAAAACAGAAGTTTGATTATCTATAACTTCCTTACCAATCCCGCCATCTCTAATTGCTTATCCCAACCATCCCCGTGGCGTGGCTAACTTCCCCCCGTCTTCCCTTCCCAGCACCGGTGTACCTGAAGACGCTCCGTCAGACCCTCACGAAATTCCGACAGGTGGCGCCTGACACCCTGCTGATATGGCGATCCACGTGGCGTGGCCACGAGGGTTGTGAGAATGCCACAGAGCCGCTGGCAGCGCCGCCCGATAATGCTACCCGGGCTGGTCCATGGGCATTCGTACTGGAGCAGAACGAAGCAGTGCGAGATTTGATCCGGGTGAGTTGGATGCTACGGGTAAGATATTCGCTTTTTGCTCCTAGATTCAGGGTTGCATTTTGGAAAGTTGATGCATATTCTAAAAAAATTACATGTGAGGTGATTCTTCTCCTGTCTGCTGTTATCCCTCTCCTGTCCGCTGTTTCCCTTCCTTATCGTGCAGGAATTTGGTGGCGTGTACATGAATCTGGATTTCTCCTTGTCAATGCGACCAGATGGGCACCTACGGCAACTGAATGGCCTCACAGATTGCTACTACTACTGCTTGCCTGGTCCTGTTGACCACTTCATGCGCCTTCTTTACAACTACCTCCTCATCCTTGATAGCAAAGGACCAGTTTCGCTGGCTCAAGGAGGGTCTAAAACATAACAGGGCTAGGTTTCGTGACATAAATATGAAGTTTTTGTGTAGGTATCTTAAATTCGCTTTACCTTCTCTATATGAATTGATGGGTGGGCTTGTACAATATCGAACACTCCCCAAGGAATATCTGGTTTGATCGTGGACTTGAAAAGGAGCGCGAAGGCACAACCCACCAATCAAATTCCACCGTCGTGTTGCTGCTGTCTTCGCGATCCTGCCGTTCGTTCTAATCTGAGGCGTGTTGGACGGCCTAGGGTGCGTGCGAGATCTCTGAGCTGTGAGTCCCATTCATCTTTCTGGACCGATCCATCCACATGTGGTTTCTTCCAGTCCACCTTTGTCGTCCAGGATTTCCGCATCGACGGCTGTGGGCAGTTAGCGCCTAGAGAACAGGCAGATCTGTTTTCGGGGTTGTGCGTTCTGTTCACGACGCAGCACCTTTTAGTGAAGAGATGAGCATTCAGTCAAGCTAGTGACCAATGAGTAAGGGACGTTCCGACAGTTGCAGTGGCAGTCTCGTCTAGTTCACTAGAACCTTGCACACGGACTGCGCTCCACAATAAAGCTGTGAAGTTTCTATATCCATCCAGTCCCTTATCCTGCAGTGTTAGACTTCTTCTAGACAACGATTATTTCTCCAGCATTCAACCGTTCGATGAATCCTGTCGTCCAGCATTGACCGCTTTTATCTGACTCTATCCTGACCAGCATTTACCTCCCCTCTGTTGATACTCGCGTTGCTTATAATTTTTAGATAACGGATTTCCAGTATTCACCCGTACGGTGAATCCTCAAAAACGTCATTTCCTTTTCCTTGTAGTGATAGTACATTAGCTGAATTCGTCATAAATGGCATCGGTCGCTTTGGACCCTCCCCGCCATTGCTGGCGCGTCGCTCGGCCTCTTCCCGCCGTGATTCGCGCGTCCGCGTGTCGGAAGGGCGGAGTCAGTCAGCTCAAGGGCAGCCAGCGGCGGCTCCTTGTTCTGACCGCCAAGCCAAAATGGCGACACGGTACGGAACATAGTCACTCTTCTGTTTCAACTCTTGTGAGGCATCTGAAAAGGTATCAGTCAGCTCAAGAGCAGCCAGCGACGGTTCCTAGTTCGGACCGCCAAGCCAAAATGGCGACACGGTACGGTCCTAACCCGCGCTTATGTTTCGTCTTTTGAGGGGCCTCAAAAGGTGTCAGTCAGCTCAAGAGCAGCCACCAACGGCTCCTAGTTCGGACCGGCAAGCCAAAATGGCGATGCGGTATGAACCGCTCTTCTGTTTCAATTGTCCGGTTTGCCTGACAGTTTGCCAGTTTCTGTATCGTCAAAATTTATTGAATTCCTCGTCTACCAAATAAAATTATTGCTGCTTTCTTTACGCCAGCAATGTAGGCTTTTCCAGTCAACATTTTCAGGCTCATTACGTGACTAGGTTCCCCTCGCCGAGCCCATCGTCCCCTGCTTATCCCCCGGCTTTCAGTTACCTAAACGAACAATCCCTGCTTGTCCCCTGAATATTTGTTACCTTGCTGTTCCCTGATACCCACATTCCTGCAACCAGTAACGTTCAAGCGTAGCGGCCAGAAATGCCACGCGTCTCACTCCGAGTTCAACGGAAAGTAAGACCGCCTCTTTCACCCCTCTGCTCTGCTCCATTTCTCCCTCTGCTTCCACTTCCCCCTCTGCTCTGCTCCATTTCTTCCTCTGCTTCCACTTCTCCCTCTGTTTCCATTTCCCCCTCTGCTTCCACTTCTCCCTCTGTTTCCATTTCCCCCTCTGCTTCCACTTCCCCCTCTGCTCTGCTCCATTTCTTCCTCTGCTTCCACTTCTCCCTCTGTTTCCATTTTCCCCTCTGCTTCCACTTCGACCTCTGACCCTACTTTCCAAATTTCCCGTTTCTTATCTCACCATCCCACGTCTCTCGCAACACCCCTGGCAACGGCTACTCCCGCTGGCCGGGTCATCCTCTCTCCTCAGTTCTCAGAAGCCTTCCCTCCCCCTCTCTCACCCCACGTTCCCCGTTTCCCGTGCGCCCACCCAAGCAGGTCCCACTTCTTTCGAAACGGTCACGGCAACAGCAACTCCTGCTGGTCCCACAACCCGTCAGCCGATTCACGGCCTTCAACGGCCGGCTCCGACCGAGCGAGTCACCACGACGCAGCACGGCGTTATGAGAGGGGATCCGTGGGGCGGTCTGAGGGGGCTCCGTACGAAGGGCGGTATGGGAGAGGGTATGGGAGAGGGGACGTTAGAGGGTACGCTCAGAGTGGGTCCGAACGGCCCGCCTCTCCAGGCTCTTCCCCTTCCCCTTCCCCCTCCTCGTCCGCCTCCTCGTCCGCCTCCCCGTTCGCTTCCTCCTCGCCTCCCTTCGCCGATTTTGCCCAGTCCACCGCACGCTCCCCTTCCTCGCCTGCCACCTCAACTGCTTCGCCAGATTCGAATGCTGCCGCTGGGGGGGCTGCTTCTGGAGAGTTTCCGATCCAGTCGCATCACACGATCCTGGACGTTGATCAGATTGATCCGACGGCTGGCGACGCTGCCGCGTGGGGTGGGCTGGACTCGGCTGCAGTGGCAGCGGCTTGGAAGAGGAGCTTTCTGAAGCGGGTGGTTGACACGATCACCAATTCCAAGTACTTCAATGTAAGCACATGGTGATGCGAGCACAGGGCATGGTTTGAGGTGCTTCATTTGACTACTTTTTGAAGCGGGTGGTTGACACCAGCACTGATTCCAAGTACTTTAATGTAAGCACAGAGCAGTATAAGCACATCGAGTATATGCACGCACCAGCCTGGCTATTTCCACAGCGAGTGTAATGCCAAACACTGACTTTGATGCCACACACTGACTTCGATGCCACACACTGACTTTGATGCCACACACTGACTTTGATGCCACACACTGACTTTGATGCCACACACTGACTTTGATGCCACACACTGACTTTGATGCCACACACTGACTTTGATGCCACACACTGACTTTGATGCCACACACTGACTTTGATGCCACACACTGACTTTGATGCCACACACTGACTTTGATGCCAACACACTGACTTTGATGCACACACTGACTTTGATGCCACACACTGACTTTGATGCCACACACTGACTTTGATGCCACACACTGACTTTGATGCCACACACTGACTTTGATGCCACACACTGACTTTGATGCCACACACTGACTTTGATGCCACACACTGACTTTGATGCCACACACTGACTTTGATGCCACACACTGACTTTGATGCCACACACAGACTTTGATGCCACACACTGACTTTGATGCCACACACTGACTTTGATGCCACACACTGACTTTGATGCAACACACTGACTTTGATGCAACACACTGACTTTGATGCAACACACTGACTTTGATGCCACACACTGACTTTGATGCCACACACTGACTTTGATGCCACACACTGACTTTGATGCCACACACTGACTTTGATGCCACACACTGACTTTGATGCCACACACTGACTTTGATGCCACACACTGACTTTGATGCCACACACTGACTTTGATGCCACACACTGACTTTGATGCCACACACTGACTTTGATGCCACACACTGACTTTGATGCCACACACTGACTTTGATGCCACACACTGACTTTGATGCCCACAGCTGGAAATGCACAAACGTATTCCATCCACTGTATTCCATCCACTGTATTCCATCCACAGTTACCCTCTCACTCGTTCTCGTTCCCCGTTGTTTCTCCCTCCCACCTTCCACTCCCGCGCCCCGCTCCAACCCCTCCCGTCCACTCATATCATCCTCCCCCACCCCCTCCTCTACCGCCTTGCTCCACTGCTCAACCCCTCTCCTCTCCGCCAATCAGCTGCAGACAGCTGGATGGCTCATTGCGGGGGCTGCCACGGCGGCAGTGGGCGTGCAGGTCACAGCACACATCATCCAGGTGAGATGGAACGCGCATGCTGTTCAGGTGAGATGAAACCGCACGTCATTCAGCTGAGATGACACGCGTACGTGGTTCAGATGAAACGCGCACGTCTATCAGGTGAGTGAAATGAAACACGCAGGTCGCTCAGGTGAATTGAAACGCTCAGGTCATCCAGGTGAGATGAAACGCGCGCCTTCCAATCAGCAGTCCATCCCCCTCCTCCCCTCCCCTCCCCTCCTCTCCCTCCCCTCTTCTCCAGGCCATCGAGTCCGTTCCTCTGCTTGCATCTCTGGAAATCCTTGTTGGTGCTGCTGTCACCACCAACGTCGCCACCACCATTACTGGAGGGGGAAAAGGTGAGGGAAGGGGGAAAGTGAATGTTAAGAGCAAACATTATGTGGGGAAAGTGCGCAGCTGAATGGACAGAGGGTTACGCCAAAAGAACATGCAGCACAGGTACTCTTTGCCCTTTGCTTTGAGCCTGTTTTTGAGTTGACTAAAAAAAAGTTGCCCATTACTTTGAGCCTGTTTTTGAGTCGACTAAGAAAAATTTGCCCTTTGCTTTGAGCCTGTTTTTGAGTCGACTCAAAAGAAGTTGCCCTTTGCTTTGATTCCTCCCCAAAGCATTTCCTCTCCTGCTCCACCCGTCGACCTCCCTCGTCCCCTCCCCCTCTCCTCCTCTCCCTCCCTCATAAGACCAACTTTCCCCACTTGTGCGCCCATGCTCTCCTCGTGCACCCCCACGCTCCCGTCCGTCCCCCACGCCCCCTATCAGCGCGCGAGCGCCTGGAGCAGCAGTGGGACGAGTTCGTGAAACGAGTCAGCGGCACGTATGGGCTGTCGGACCCGACTTTTGATGAGATGGAGAGCGGTAAAGACCTCGAGGTGCGTCAAATGTGACGGTGGGTTGAGGTGATTTGTGCATGTGGATGGTTCGAGTATCCGCTGTGCATCGAGGGAGTGGCACGTATGGGCTGTCCGACGCTGTGTTGGACGAGATGGAAGGGGCCAGGTACCTAGTGCGTTTTGTGAAGTATCTGCGCACCTTGAGGCAGTGGCACGTACGGGCTTTCCTTCCAACCCGGTGTTTGACGAGATGGATGGGGACAATGACCCCGAGGTGGGCTGAGTTGTTATCTGAACATGCAAAACACCCACACCACACACACATGCACGCACGCACACACACACACACACACACACACACACACACACACACACACACACACACACACACACACGCACAAAAATACAGGCTCAGATACAGCAGCTGTTGCTGTCGCAGTGCAGTGCACTTATAGCTGACGCAGCACTGCAGCAGAGCGAGTAGCGAGCGTCTCAACGCATGCCTCCCTCCCCCTTATTTCCCCCCCCCCCCCCCCCACACACACACACACACACGCGCGCGCGCGCGTGATACAGGCTCAGATTCAGGACCTTCTGTCGCAGTGCAGTGCGATTATAGCCGATGCAGCAGTGCAGCAGAGCGAGCAGCGGCCTTCACACCTCGGAGGCGACTCATCAACAGAAACCCAGCAGCAGAGGGAGACGCAGGCAGCAGAGTTATTGCGGAAGGCCGCAGAGAGACTTGGTCCAAAGCCTGCAAACAGCACAGGAAAGGAGACAGAGGGGGAGGAGCTGAAAGACGGGGAAGGGAAGCAGGCTACAGAGGCTGATCCTGAGGTGCCTCAGAGAAAGGCTGATGGGGAGGAGGGGGAGGAAGCGGTGGTGGCGGTGAGAAAGGCGGAGCTGGTGCGGGTGTTATCTGAGTTTGTGGAGAGGAGGGAGGGCAGGGCGAGGCGGGTGAACCGCATGCTGCAGCAGGAGGTGCAGGCGGGCAGGGGACTGGAGGGGCGACTGGGGGACCTTACTAAGGTGAGTGCAAGTATGATAGCAATGGGAGGATGGGGTGGGTAGGGGAGAGGAGCTTGCAGGAGAGTGTGTGAAGTGCCATTAAGGTGCTGACTATGTGGGCAAAAGAGCAGGGCGAGGTACGTGAACTGCTCGCTGCAGCAGGAGGCAGGCAGGCAGGGGGCTGGAGGGGCGACTGGGGGACCTCACTAAGGTGAGTGAGAGTGACTAGTTTCACCAGGGTGCTGGCTATCGGGTGAAAAGGGCAGGGCGAGGGGATGGAACCGCGTGCTGCAGCTGGAGGTGCAGGCGGGCAGGGGGCTGGAGGGGCGACTTGGGAACCTTACTAAGGTGAGACTGTCGGGACAGTGGGCGGGATACCAGTGGGGAGTATGGGGGGAAAGGGCCTGCAGGAGGGACTGGGGGACCTCAGTAAGGTGCTTGCAGGAGACATATGACTGGGGGACCTCAGTAAGGTGCTTGCAGGAGACATATGACTGGGGGACCTCAGTAAGGTGCTTGCAGGAGACATATGACTGGGGGACCTCAGTAAGGTGCTTGCAGGAGACATATGACTGGGGGACCTCAGTAAGGTGCTTGCAGGAGACATATGACTGGGGGACCTCAGCAATTGGGGAATAATATGCTACGCCCTCCCATACTATACCATTCCACGCCCTGCCCTGCCCTGCCATGCCATGCATTGCCCTGCCATTCACATTATCGCTCGCGTGCTCCTCTCTGTCTGATCCCCCTCTATTCCACCCTTGCCATGCACCTGCCGTGTTGTCATGCTGATTTGCTTCCATGCTGGTTTGCTTATCCATGCTGCCATGCTGCCATGCTGCCATGCTGACAGGCTCTGGAAGTGCGCACTATAGCGTCCGTGGCAGCAGCAGAATGTCATGCCATGCCATGACACGACATGCCACACCTGTTCATTCACATGCTCGCCTTGCTCTGTTGAATCTGACAATGCTGACAGGCTCTGGAAGTGCGCACTTTAGCGTCCGTGGCAGCAGCGCAGAACGTGGCTCGCCTGCAGGCACTCAACGACTCGCTGCAGGTGAAATGGGCGGGCTGTGTGCGTGCATGCGCTAGCCCACTCTTCAAGGGAGAGATGGTGAGAGTGTGGAGAGAATGTGGGGATGTGGGGGCATCACTCGTAGCAGCGCAGAACGTGGCTCGCCTGCAGGCACTCGACGACGTGCTGCAGGAGAAACAAGTAAGGGGCCGTAGGGGCTGTAGGGGCTGTAGGGGCTGTAGGGGCTGTAGAGGCAGTAATGGCAGGGGGCTTTTATGTGGGTGGGCTTATCACTCGCAGCAGCTCAGAACGTGGCTCGCTTGCTGCTGATGAGCTGAGAGGGCTGTAGGAGCAATCGGGGCTAAAGGAGGGTTTGACTGCAGGCTCTTGCAGGCTCTTGCATGGGGTAATCACTGGCAGGCAGCATCACAGAACGTGGCCTGCCTGCAGGCTCTTAGTGACTCGCTGCAGGTGAAATGGATGAGTGGCCGGGCAGTAAGGGATGACAGCCACGTGGCAGTAAAGGGCATGTGATGTGACAGTCAAAGGCATGTAAACCACGTACACAGTTGGTATGGCCATTTTAGGGATCACGGATTTGACTTTTGAGTTGACTCAAAAGTCACCCCAAGGCATGTAAACCACGTACACAGTTTGTATGACCATTTTAGGGATCACGGCTTGAGGCACCAGTTAGTTTGTCCATGCGCCTTGAATGCTACCTGTGTACATATATGCTCCAAAGCTGTTTTGAACCATGCCCACACGTACCCCTCCGGCTTATCCCCTCCCACATCCCCTCCCACATCCCCTCCCACATCCCTTCCCTCGCCCCTGCCCTCGCCCCCTCCCACACCCCCTCCCACACCCCCTCCCACACCCCCTCCCACACCCCCTCCCACACCCCCTCCCACACCCCCTCCCACATCCCCTCCCACATCCCTTCCCTCGCCCCTGCCCTCGCCCCCTCCCACACCCCCTCCCACACCCCCTCCCACACCCCCTCCCACATCCCTTCCCTCGCCCCTGCCCTCGCCCCCTCCCACACCCCCTCCCACACCCCCTCCCACACCCCCTCCCACATCCCTTCCCTCGCCCCTGCCCTCGCCCCCTCCCACACCCCCTCCCACACCCCCCTCCCACACCCCCTCCCACACCCCCTCCCACACCCCCTCCCACACCCCCTCCCACATCCCTTCCCTCGCCCCTGCCCTCGCCCCCTCCCACACCCCCTCCCACACCCCCTCCCACACCCCCTTCCTCGCACCCTCCCTCACCCTCTTCCTCGCACCCGCCCTCGCCCCTTCCCACACCCCACCCGTCGTGCCCGTGTGCCGGCAGGCGGAGCGCAACAGTGTGACGAGTCAGCTGTCTGCGTTGACCAATCAGATCACAGGGCTGACCACATCTCTGGACGTGCTGACGAAGCAGCAGGACTCTGTATCCCAGTCCAACACGGTGGTGAGCGGTGATGTGTGGTGTGTGTGGGCGCATGTGTGGGGAGGAATGGGGGGGAGAAGAGAGTAACGTGTGGTGGTGAGTAGTGATGTGTGGTGTGTGTGCGCATGTAAATGTGCCTGTGTGGGGGCGTGGGAGAGAGGGGAAGTAACTTTTGTTTCCCAGTCTAACATGGTGGTAAGCGCTGACAAGTTGCTTTCAGCACCCCTTTCCAGCCCCATTTCTCCCCCTTTTTCCTTTCTCCCCCTCCTCCCCCTTCCCTCCCCCCTGCCAGTTGCGCACTCGCCTGCGCAAGGCACTGCTGGAGAAGCGCCAGCTGGCGCAATCATTGCGGGCGGCGCACCGCGTGCAGAGCGAGCGGGCGAGTGACGTGGAGGGGCGGCTGCGGGCGGTGGGAGCACAGCTGAGGGCGAGCGAGGGGGCAATGGTGCAGCAGAGGAGAGAGGAGGAGGTGAACTTGCAGACGTACCTGTCCCAGCATGCTGCTATTAAGGTGAGATGAGGGATATGTAAGGGCAAGAAATGCATGTGGAGGGGTGCGGAGGGTTGTGAAGGGATGTGGAGGGATGTGGAGGGGCAAGGAGTACGTTATGGGCAAGTACAGTAGACAACTTGAGCTGAGGTTCCTTTGACAGAATCTGCTGCTCGTTGGCTGGGAAGGATGTCAGAAGCCTTTGATCGGAGGGACGTGGAAGGGCGGCTGCGGGCAGTGGCAACTGTGGGTCATGTGTCCTCTCTTTCCTCTTCCTGTCCCCATATCTCCCCCCTTTTTCCCCCACCCCTTTCCAGTCGGAGCGCAATGCAGCAGTGGTGCAGGCGAGTGACTTGCAGCACCGGGTGGAATCTGTGTTTCATGCGCTTCCTCTCCAGTAGACTCCTCATACCCTGGCTGTTTCCCTTGCCCTTGCTCCCTCTTCGTCCCCCCTGCAGTCAGAGCGCAACGCAGCAGTGGTGCAGGCAAGGGACTTGGAGCGCCGAGTGGCATCTGCGGAAGCTCAGCTGAAGGAAGTCACCCGCTCTCGTGACCACCTCTTCATCACCAACCATGAGGTAGGGATTGACCGCTGCTGGCTTGGCTAGCAACCACGCGTGGGGCACAGCACGTGTGGGTGGGGCAGAAATGTCCGATGGCGCATGGTGAAACCTGCTGCGGAAGCTCAGCTGAAGGAGGTGACCCGCTCTCGTGACCACCTCTTCATCACCAACCATGAGGTAGGGATTGACCGCTGCTGGCTTGGATAGCAACCACGCGTGGGGCACAGCACGTATGGGTGGGGCAGAAATGTCCGATGGCGCATGGTGAAACCTGCCGCGGAAGCTCAGCTGAAGGAGGTTACCCGCTCTCGTGACCACCTCTTCATCACCAACCATGAGTTAGGGATTGCATGTGGACATCCATTGCCTGCTTGTGGACATCCATTGCCTGCTTGTGGACATCCATTGCCTGCCTTCCAGCCACGAGTTAACGCTTCCGTGCCGTGCAACCACGAGGTATGCTTCCCTGCTGCTGGCAACCACGAGGTATGCTTCCCTGCTGCTGGCAACCACGAGGTATGCTTCCCTGCTGCTGGCAACCACGAGGTATGCTTCCCTGCTGCTGGCAACCACGAGGTATGCTTCCCTGCTGCTGGCAACCACGAGGTATGCTTCCCTGCTGCTGGCAACCACGAGGTATGCTTCCCTGCTGCTGGCAACCACGAGGTATGCTTCCCTGCTGCTGGCAACCACGAGGTATGCTTCCCTGCTGCTGGCAACCACGAGGTATGCTTCCCTGCTGCTGGCAACCACGAGGTATGCTTCCCTGCTGCTGGCAACCACGAGGTATGCTTCCCTGCTGCTGGCAACCACGAGGTATGCTTCCCTGCTGCTGGCAACCACGAGGTATGCTTCCCTGCTGCTGGCAACCACGAGGTATGCTTCCCTGCTGCTGGCAACCACAAGGTATGCTTCCCTGCTGCTGGCAACCACAAGGTATGCTTCCCTGCTGCTGGCAACCATGCCCACACGTGGGGTGGGGCACACGCGAGGCATGCATTGGGCACACGTGAGGCATGCATTGGGCACACGTGAGGCATGCATTGGGCACACGTGAGGCATGCATTGTGCACACGTGAGGCATGCATGGGGCACACGTGGACCATGAGGCAAAGGCACTGACAATGTTATCTCTGCTTACTCCCCTGTTCTCCGCTTTTCACCCCTGTTCACCACCTTTCACCCCGTTTCCACCCTTTTCATCACTGTTCACCCGTTAACATCCCTGTGACAGTTGAACACGCGGCTGACAGCAGCAATAGGCGAAATAATCTACAGCAGCGGGTGGATCAGCTGCAGCGCACCAGCCGCCTCTCCGCTGCCGCCTTCAGAGACCAAGACACTGACGAGATCCTCTCTGCTTGCACCCATTTTCAAACCTGTTCAACCCAGTTCACCTCTGTTTACCGCCTTTCACCCCTGCCTATCCCCCCGAATCGCCTCCATCCCTCAGTTGAACACCCGCCTGACAGACGCAGTGAGCGAAAACAGGCTCCTCCAGCAGTGGGTGGATCAGCTGCAGCGCACCAGCCGCCTCTCCGCTGCCGCCTTCAGAGACCGCGAAACCAAGACACTGAGGGGATTAACTCTGCGGACTCTCTTTTTCGCCCCTTCTCAACCCCTTTCACCCCTGTTTACCACGTTTCACCCCTCTCTACTACCCTAAAAAACCTTCCCAGTTGAACACGCGTCTGACAGCAGCAATGAGCGAGAACAGGCTGCTAAAGCAGCGAGTCGATCAGCTGCAGCGCACCAGCCGCCACTCTGCTGCCTCCTTCAGAGACCGCGAGAGCACGCTCAAGCAGCACCTTGCGGAGCGCCATGCTGAGCTGGCAGCCTCCCGCCAGCAGGCAGCCGCTGAGCTGGCACGAGTGACATCCAGCCTGGAAGCCAAAGTGGTAAGCGGCTCTTGCACTCCCTTTTGAGAACTCTCAACAGAAATCTCAACAGAAATTTCAACAGAAATCTCCACAGAATTCAACAGAATTCTCAACAGAATTTCAAGAGTGGTAAGCGGTTCTCCAACTCTTAATGCATATCCAAAGACAGTTGTTCTTAGACATTGTTGTGTTCGTTCCTTTCCCTCCCTCTCCTCTGCTCCCCTCATTACTCGCCCTGATCAACCTCTATTTCAGTACCATAAACTGGACTGGAGTGAGCAGCACAGGATGTGGAGGAAGGCAAGGGGGAGACTTTTGAGTCGACTCAAATTTCAGTACCATAAACTGGAGTGAGCAGCATAGGAGGTGGTGGGGAGCAAGGGGGCGGTGAGGTTGCTGGAGGAGCAGGTGGGGTATACCTAACTTGTTCTCACCTTTTGCACCCCCTGTGTTTGGCTTGAACGCACAGAGAGCAGCGCAGGAGGAGGTGGAGGAGAGCAAGGGGGCGGTGAGGTGGCTGGAGGAGCAGGTGGAGTCGATGCGGGAGGAGGGGCTGCTGCACACGACACGGCTGAGGGCTGCTGTGGCTGCCGCTGAGAAGCGGGCACAAGAGGTGAGAGAGAGGAGAGGAAAGGTCGAGAGACGAGAGGTATGGAGCGAAGCGGTAAAGAGAGTAAAAGTTTGAGGAAGAGGGGCTGCTGCACACGGCACGGCTGAGGGCTGCTGTTGCTGCAGCTGAGAAGAGGTGAGAGAGACAGGAGAGGGGTGGGGGGATGAGAGGGAGTTTGCAGGGTGTATTGAGTATTTTTCAACAGCGTGTTGCGGGAAGAGGGGCAGCTGCACACGGCATGGCTGAGAGCTGCTGTCTCTGCTGCTGAGAAGCAGACGCAAGAGGTGAGGCAGAGGGGAGGGGAAGGGAGAGGAGAGGTAGGGAGAGTAAGAGTTTGAGGGGAGAGGGGCAGCTGCACACAGCACGGCTCAGAGCTGCTGTCTCTGCCACTGAGAAGCAGGCGCAGGAGGAGAAAAAGAGGGATGTAGTATGTGGTCCGTGTCTGGAGTTTGACCTGTGTCACTGCGTTGTGTTCCATGTGTCGTTGCCTGATTGCAGGAAGCCGAACGGGCCAATGAGCTGCAAGCGTTGCTTGCAGAGAGAAAGGAGGCATCAGACAGAGAGACGAGGCTTCTTGAAGAAAAGGTTTCCTCGCTAGAGTCCAAACTGAGCGAAACGGAATTGAAACTGGCTGCTACAGTGAACAGTGCGATAGCAACTGCCAAGTCAGCACTCCTGCCGCCCACCCCTGCCTCGCCAGTAGACGCCTCATTACTGTCCTTTGAAGGCTTTGGATCAAGTATTGAAAACACCGAAAGCAATACTCTCTCTGGCTCACCCAATAGCAGTGAAGTTGGCAGCAGCATGAGCAGTGGCAGCGTGAGCAGCAGCAGTGGCGGCAGGAGAGGGTGGAGAAAGGGGGAGAAGATCAGGAGCCAAAAGGAGGAGAGCATGGACGGAAGCGTGGAGGAGACTGGGCTCGCCAAAAGGACCAGTGTAGAGGGGACAGCGTTGGGTCAAGAGGGAAGCTCAGAGGCAGGGTCGCTGGGCGAAGGGAGAACTGCAAACTTGACAGCATTGGGTGAAGGGGGAAGTGCAGAGGTAGCGGAGAATAAGGCAGGTGGAGGCAGAGGTGAGGAGATGGAAGCAGGCGAGGCGAGCAATGAAGAGGTGCTGGGAGCAGGCGAGGAGAGCAATGAAGAGGCGCTGGGAGCAGGCGAGGAGAGCAGCACGAAGGAAAGAGCTGGAGGCATGCGCACGAGCAACTCTGCTGCTGAGGCTGAAGCCGAAGCTGTGGCTGAGGCTGTGGCTGAACCTTCTGCTGTGGCTGAACCTTCTGCTGTGGCTGAGGCTGTGGCTGAACCTTCTGCTGTGGCTGAACCTTCTGCTGTTGCTGCAGACGCTGAGCTTGCTGCTACTGGCAAGAGCAACGCTGCTGCTGAGGCTGAAGCCGAAGCTGAGGCTGTGGCTGAAACGTCTGCTGTTGCTGTGGGCGCTGAGCTTGCTGCTGATGGTGCTGTTCCTATCGGTGCTCAGGGTGATGGCAATGGTGAGGAGGATGTTGTTGCTGTGGATGCCACTTCTGCAGCAACGGTGCGTGGGGAGGAGGAAGGAGCTGATGTGATCGGTGCTGACGTTGAAGGAAGTGCGGCTGGGCCAACTGCTGGTGCAACTGTTGGTGCAGAGGTGTCAGCTCGTGGAACGCCGAACGAGGCTCTTGGCACGCCGAACGAAAATGACTTGAAGGTGCGGTACTTGAATGGGAAGGGGATGTGTGAAGGTCACATCAAGGGAGTACTGGATAAGGTCGCTGATTGCACATTCATGGCATGCCAGCCACCCTGCATGGCGTGCCACCCTGCATGGCGTGCCATTCTGGCTGCTACTGGATAAGGTCGCTGGTTGCACATGCATGGCGTGCCACCTCTCATGACATGCCATTCTGCATGGCGTGCCACCTCTCATGGCATGCCATTCTGCATGGCGTGCCACCCTGTATGGCGTGTATGCGCAGGCCATCTTCCCAGCTCATTGGTCTACCATCCCCCAGCTCCTTCTATCATTGCTGACTTTTAAGGCTCCTCTAAAGTCCTTCTAAGGTTGTTCTTTCCTGTCTGCCTGTCTGTCTGTCTGTCTGTCCCACTGTCCCCTCTCCTTGTCTTTGCCATCACCCTCCTTCCCACCAATGCTGTCATCAGGTGTATGCGCGGGCCATCTTCCCTGTGTATGTGACACTTGACACGACTATCATGCAGTTATGAGATGTCTCAACACCCTAACCTCCGTATGGCCATCACCCTCCTCCCAATCCCAACGCTGTCATCAGGTGTATGCGTGAGCCATCTTCCCTGTGTATGTGACACTTGACGCGACTATCATGCAGTTATGAGATGTCTCAACACCCTAACCTCCTTATCGCCATCACCCTCCTCCCAATCCCAATGCTGTCATCAGGTGTATGCAAGGGCCATCTTCCCTGCGTATGTGTCACTCGACGCGTCTATCATGGAGCAGAGCCGAGGCATGACAGCCATGGTGCAGGTACGGCTGTCATGGTATGGTGGTAGTGCGTGTATGCAGGTATGAAACTTAATGCATGTACAGTACTTCATGCATGTAGTGCTCCGGGTATGTATAGTACCCCACGTTATCCCATGCATGCATGATATCCCATTCGTGGATAATACTGCACGTCTACTGTATGTGATGCATGCATTTTGTCATGTCTGGTTATGTCTCATCCATGCATTTTTTTTCCATTGCAGGATATGGTCAAGATGGGGGCGGACAAATCATGGGCCAAGCGTCATGTGGAGGAGGAGTTATTGAAACCCGCGCTGACACAACATGTAGCCGTTGCTGCTGCTCGTGCGGTGAGCACTCGCACTCAGAGGAAGCAAGGAAGGCAAGCCAAGGCAACTAACAGTAACACTAACAAATCCGCTGATGAAGAATTAAATGCAGGAGACCTGGATGGTAAGGTGGTTATGCAGTAGACTAAAAGCTTGGGCAATGCGCTATCCTTATTATGGTTTGAGTAGAGCTTGTAAATGGGATCTAATTGAGGTGCTCCACTCATTCTTGCACGTTCGAAGGTTTGTGTGATTTTGAGAACAATGTGGAAGTTTTACGACTATCTCGAAGTGGGAAAGGGGTATCTACAAAGAGGGCTGCGCGGTGGCTCTATCGCAACCCTTGATGGCTTACAGCCTCGCTCATCGTGGCCGTTGCGTAGAAAACGGGGTTCTCGAAAAAAGTTTTCAGCCGTTCTCTGGAGACAGTCGAAGTACAGACGTGGAAGTCCATTGGCCCCCGAAATTGCCGAAGGGCGGCGGAACAGCATATCCGTACCTCAGCGTCTGCTTCGGACGAAGGAGGCGTGTCATGTCGTATTTGAACAAATCCCGCCCCGTTTCGTCCGCTCCGTCCGTCCCCTGACCACAGTCACTTGGCAGGGAAGACCACAGGTAGAGTCCGAACCAGTCACTGCAAGGGCTTGACGAACCGTCTGATCTGAGCCACAGAAAGGCGCTGTATCGTACAAGTGTTCATGGTTAGAGGCTCTCGTTGAGAGAGTCCCTTTTCCCCCCTGAGTAGAATTTTCGGATATCGCCTAGGGTTGGTCCGAACCCTATAGTCCCGTTTTTTGGCGGGAAAGTTTGCAGCTTGACCGAATCATTGCACGAATCAGCTCCGCAGCCAATCAGAGGCTCCAGATCAAACCAGCCCAACATTCAAAGAGAACGATGAAAAAGGGATCATCGATTCGATATTTTAATCTTTTTATTGTAAATATTTTTCTCTTGACCGCGCATGATTCTCAATCCTGTCGCGCTGTCTCCAGCGCGATCGACGATGACATCTCATTTATCTCGCTTACAGGGTAGAAACGAAGTTTTTGGGTTACTATTCGACCAAAAAACCATTTTTGATTTTGTTTAGTTTTGACCGTTAGTCAAGCGACATTGATCAGCGTGGAAAACCGTGCGACTGGAAGTTGAAGCAAGCGCGGTCCAAATCTACGTAAATGCTGAGCTCCAGAAACTAGTAGTAAAACAACCACTCCTCATGCAATTTTCCTGAGCGGGACTATTAAAGGAGGTGCCACATAGTCCGCGCGCGGCGATGTTGATCCGTTGGACTATAAACGAGAACACTTGTACCCTGCTGCTGCTGATTCGCCTGAACATATGATCTGGACTTGCCTTCCGGACGTAAATCTCGGCTCGGTTCGGCCCCGCCCGGTTCGGCTCTCCTTACCTGAGGAAGAGGACGCGGCACCTGTTTTCAATTTGCCAGGATCGATCGTGAAAGGGGATCGATGTGCCGCTTGTACAGTGTATTGGCGACGTCGCCAATGCCTGGTATCCGTTTTTCGCAGGACGTCGAGAGTGTACAGTAAACGGGTACCCAAAATGGTGGCACCTGCAGCTCGCACGATCGATGTGCCGTGGTGCACACATCGATCGTGCGTTTGGATTGGCGGGAGAGCACATCGCGCCACAGGTGACAGCCGCGATCAATCGGCGTCGCCCACGGTCGCAAGCAAAAAATTCTTGAGTCGCTGCGAATGAAATTGCTGGGCGACCAGCCACGCTCTGCCCCGATTGGCTGTGCGTTTCAATGTGTTGCTGTTCTGACGCAGATCCAACCTGCCCGAGCCTGCAATTTCGAACCTGGCACTTATAGTTCGATGTGTCTACCCCACTGCAAATTTGCAGTGCGGGCACATCGGTGTGCCGATCGATTTGCCAGGATCGATGTGAGGTCTCGATCCCACCCGATCCTGGCAAAATGAGAACATGTGCCGCGTCCTCAATGACCTGACCTCCTCCCCACGCCTTTTTCCAGCAGCCCAACTTATCCAAGCCCAAACCCAAGTTCCCAACCAACCTCATCAACCTTGCTCATCAGGATTCAGGAGGACCCACCACTGAGATTTCCTTGTTTTCTTGGGAACTCAAACCAGCGCCTTCATTGAGATCAGTTCATTCAGACTGTGTAGTTGAACCAGTTTTGTCCAGTTTTAGGATCCTTCAATGTCCTGTTAAGTTTCCTGGTAATTTTAGGTCGGCTGAGTGTTAGGTCGTGTGGTCCCGCATTGATTCTCGGCTTGCGTGTGATGGTGAAGTCCTAGACGAGGATCGATCGTCGTACCCTAGAATGCAGATTCCCCCCGCGCTTCCCAGCATTGTTCCAAAAGGAGAAATCCGCGATCTGAAACCCTAGGTCCTATTCTAGTCTCGATCCTCATCAGCGTTATCACGTTACCCATGGACGTGCCGCCTTCCACGCCGTGCTGCGCGGCCAGCCATCCAGATCGTCACAGTAGCGGCCATTCCTCATGCCTAAGCTCCTCCGCGTGCACGGAAGCTGCCTCGCCGGACGGCGAGTGGAATCTGCGCGAAGCGGGGAGTGGCGCAGGCGCAGGTCCTTCCGCGCGCGGGGGATCTTCCGCGGGTCTTCCGCAGAAGCGGCGGGAGCCGCCGTCCGCGCAGAGGGACCGCGCGGAGTGCCGGTGGTGCGGACGGCGCGTGTTGCTGAAACGTCGGTGCAGCTGCCGCGCGTGCTTGGAGTCGGGACCGCCGATGGATCGACGAATAATGCGATGCCGCGACTGCACCATTCACTCAGTACGTGACTTATGGCACATCGACAATATCGAATGTGAACGAAAAGAAAAGAAAAGGAAAAGGCGCAACGGTTTTGCGGTACAAAATCAGGAAGGATTTCATTATGGATCAGCAATGAATCCAGGGCTTCGGGCATTATTCATTCAGTGCAGCATTGGTGAACTTTCACGTTTTATGGCGAATTAGACAGCGCAGTGATGCAATGTAGCATTAAGCAACGCCTGGGGTGAAACATTGGACCAATCCCTGGATTTTACAGAGCACGTATCTGCAGCTACTCAGGAAACATACGCCATGTCTCTGGCATTGTAGATTCCTCGTATATGAATGAGGTTGTGGTGAACTGAACTCTCTATAGTATCCTTTTCACCCCCTGTGCCGTATAATCGATTCACCTAGGATGTGGTGAAGTGATTTCTGAAAGATGTCCTTCCCATCCCCTGTGCTTGGATCTCAGGCGCTCCACATGGCTTATCGCTGCCGCATGTAACAGATCGGGATGAGCTGAACTGAACTCTCAATAACATCATCCTCCCCATCTCCCCCATCCGTGTGCTTGCACCTCAGGCGCGCTGCATGGTGTGTCTGTGCCTGTGCCGAGTCTATGAGGACGTGGTGACCTGAACCCTCAAGGCCATACGTTCCCCCCACCCCATCCCTCGTGCGTATGCTTCCACCCCAGGCGCGTTGCATGGTGTGTCCGTGCCTCTGCCGTGTGTACGAGGACGTAAAGCGGTGCTCTGAACCCTCAAGCCATACATTCTGTTTCCCACACCATCTTTGTGTTTCCAGGCGCGCTGCATGGTGTGCCTGTGTCTGTGCCGAGTCTATGAAGACGTGGAGAGGTGCTGTGAACCTGCTGCACCACCGCTGCGCAAAGCCACAGATGGGGCTCTCATGGACCTCCCACGGGCTGCAATGCATGCACCACAAGCTCTTCCCCTCCGTTCCCACTCCTCACTACCCTCCTCACTCCATGCCTGCCTCCCCCCCATACCCCTTGCTTGTCCTTTGCACGGCAGGCGCGCTGCATGGTGTGCCTGTGTCTGTGCCGAGTCTATGAAGACGTGGAGAGGTGCTGTGAGCCGGGGTGTGTGAACCTGCTGCACCACCGCTGTGCCAAGCCACAGATGGGGCTCTCCTGGACCTCCTACGGGCTGCACTGCATGCACCACAAGCTCTTCCCCTCGCCCTCCTCTTCTTCCTCGTCCTCCTCCCTGTCCAACACAGCCGCTGCTGCCGTTACAGCTGTTGACGCAGCCGCCACTGCCACCGCCGCCACTGCTGCCACTGTTCCCATCACAGCCGCTGCAGCCACTGCTGCCACCATTGGCAATGAAATCGGCGGTAGCGGTAGTGGTGGGGGTGGTGGCGGTAGTAGTGGGGGCGGTGGCAGTGGTAACGGCGACGGTGGTGGTGGAAACGACAACGGGGTTGGTGGGAGCGATGGTGGGTTGGACAGCGGCAGCAAGGTTGGCAACCAGAAGGAGCAAGCGATCACCAGCAACTTCAGTAGCAGCAATAGCAGCAGCGGTGGTGGCGGCAGCGCCGGTGGCAATGCTGGTGGTAGTAAAGAAGGTGGTAAGGTTAGTGGTAAAGATACTGAGTATGGTGATGCTGGTGGTACTACCAATGGCAGCACTGGCGGCAAGAGTGGTGGTGGTGGTGGCGGCGGTGGTGGTGGTGGTGACATTCATGGCAGCAGCAGTTGCAGCAGCAAGGACTCGTGTCATTTCTGCAGCCTGCTGGAAGAGAGATCCACGCTGCCCTGCCTGCCCACTCCTTCAATTCTCAACTGGGTGCGTCTCAGGCTGTGGGCCGTCCATTATTCGTGCGTCCCAGGCAGTGGGCCGTCCATTATTCGTTGCAATTGCGGTCGTTCTGCTTGCCAGCCCGTGCTACATCGTGTTCTGTCCTCCCTCTCTCAAGTTCTTGTCAGCAGAATGCTGCTGCTGCCAATGCCTCTCAACTCAAATGCCGTGCGTGTCACATGCCTTTCCCAGCATATCCAGCGCCCCTTCCTCTCACACGCCCATGCAGCCTCACTCACCACCCACTCTCCCTCTTTGCTCTTTCCCTTGTTTCTCTGCACGTGCATTTGTGTGCATATGTGTGTGCCTGTGCGAGTGTGCATGTCTGCATGCATGCATGTATGCGTGTTGTTCCTCCTGCTGCATGTGCATTGCGGATGTGTGCATGTCCCCTGCCCTGCCAACAGTACTGTGAGCCCGTGCAAACTGCACAGGTGAGCCGCATCCGCCTTGCTCCTCCATCCCCTTGCCAATCTGCGTTTCCTCTACCCCTGGTTCCCTCCTTCCATGCTTCTCTGTATCCCTTCTTATCCCCCTGTCTGCATGTAGATGTTTACATACATATGTGTGTGTGTAGGTCAATCTTCTCCCCCCGTCCCCCTCCCCCCCCCCCCCCCCCCCCCCCCCCCCTCTCTTTCCCCGCTTCCCCTGTCTGCAGCAAGGCATGTGCGCGCTGCCCCTGCCCCACGTTGCAGTGGACTTCCGCCTGCCTCCCGCCATATCCCCCTCTCTCTCCCCCCTTCCTCTCCCCATTCCTCTCCCCCTCTCTTTCCCCGCTTCCCCTGTCTGCAGCAAGGCATGTGCGCGCTGCCCCTGCCCCACGTGGCAGTGGATTTTCGCCTGCCCCCCGCTATTCCCCTCTCTGTGGATATGGAGGAGCGGGACGATGGGACCCTACCAGCTGCAAACCAGCAGCTGAAGCCGCGATACATACACATCAACTCGAGTGAGTGAGGGGAGTGAGTGAGGAGAGTGAGTGAGAGAATGACCCCCTACCATTCCCCTCTCGGTGGATCTGGAGGAGAGGGACGAGGGCTCTGCACTCCCTGCAGTTCAGCAGGTAATGCCGCGATACATACACATCAACTCTAGTGAGCACTGCAACAGGAAGTTGTGCATCTTTTTGAGAGTGGCATGACGCGTGGCATGACGCGTGGCATGTGACATTACACATCAACTCTCAAGTGACAAGTTCTATGGAGGAATCTTGAAAACTCTTAAAGTGACACAAGTGGTCGAGGGAGGACCATGACGTGACACATGCTGTGATCACACGCCTTACCTCCCAAAAATCATCCGTTCATCTCCCTCCCTGCCATGCAGACAAAAAAATGCGCATGCGCCCTCCGCTCTTCCCTGCTGCCATCTTTCCATCTTACGAAGTTTTCCCCGCCCCCTTCCCATATAGACATACACCTGCGGCCTCCGCCAGTGATGGATGACGAGGACATGGGGTGCGATTGTAAAGGGGGGAGCAACACCGCGTGTGGGGACGACTGCATGTGCCGGTGAGTCCAACTCCGTCTCTTATGCGTCTCATTTCAGTCATTTTCCAGTTCACTCATCTCAATTAATTTCGTTGCACTTTGTCGCGTCTCGCTTCATTTGATTTCGCTTCGTTCCATTCCACTTCGCTTCGTTCTATTCCACTTCGGCTGGGTGAGCCTTGCCTTGTCTGGCCATGGCAGGGCGCAATACCTGAGCTGCACCAATCGCTGTGGGTGCCACGGGGGGTGCTGCAACAGGCCCTTCAGTCGCCCAAAGAGGCTTGATATCGTGCAAGTGAGTGGCAGCTATATGAGTGCGACTTTTGAGAGTCGCCCAAAGAGGCTTGATATCGTGCAAGTGAGTGGCAGCTCCTTTCTCTTCAACTCCTTCGTTTTCAGACATGTTCTATCCTGGGCGTTTCGGAAAATGGTGCTCTCTATGCCCCACCACCCCCTTCAACTGCGTCCCACCATTGAGTTGCATACCCCACCACCCCTTCACCATCCCAAACGTCCCAGCCCCCCTCCTACACCCATTCTCCCACCCCCCCACTCCCCACCCTCGCTCTCCCCTCCCCACCCCCCCCCTCCTCCCCCGCTCTTCCGTCATCCCCCCATGCAATAAACCGCGCCTCCACCGCACGCCAGACGCAGCGCTGTGGGTGGGGAGCCATGGCAGTAGAGCCCATCAAGGCGGGCGAGTTCATCGTTGAATACGCCGGTGAAGGTGGGTTGAGGGGGGTGAAGATGGGTCAAGAGCTGGTGAAGGTGGGTTGAGAGGGGTGAAGGTGTTTCGGATGGTTTGGGAAAGATGGGTCCCACCTTGTTAAAGCATATTATGGTCCTCCACCTGTGTGAACATGCACCCTTTTGAGTCGACTCAAAAGCCACCTGTGTGAACATGCACCCTTTTGAGTCGACTCAAAAGCCACCTGTGTGAACATGCACCCTTTTGAGTCGACTCAAAAGCCACCTGTGTGAACATGCACCCTTTTGAGTCGACTCAAAAGCCACCTGTGTGAACATGCACCCTTTTGAGTCGACTCAAAAGCCACCTGTGTGAACATGCACCCTTTTGAGTCGACTCAAAAGCCACCTGTGTGAACATGCACCCTTTTGAGTCGACTCAAAAGCCACCTGTGTGAACATGCACCCTTTTGAGTCGACTCAAAAGCCACCTGTGTGAACATGCACCCTTTTGAGTCGACTCAAAAGCCACCTGTGTGAACATGCACCCTTTTGAGTCGACTCAAAAGCCACCTGTGTGAACATGCACCCTTTTGAGTCGACTCAAAAGCCACCTGTGTGAACATGCACCCTTTTGAGTCGACTCAAAAGCCACCTGTGTGAACATGCACCCACACTCCCTTCTCTTCTCAGCCCCCCTCCTCCCTCCCTCCCACACTTATGTGTGAGACGCCATTTTCTTAGGCATCTAAGAACCTTCCTGTTCTTCCTCCTCCCACAGTGATTGACGATGCGATGTGTGAGGCACGACTATGGGCCATGCGGGCAGGGGGAGCGACGGATTTCTACATGTGTGAAGTGAGCCGCGACGTGGTCATTGATGCCACCTTCCGTGGGGGGCACGGCCGCTTCGTCAACCACAGCTGCGCTCCCAACGCCGAGCTGCAGAAGTGGTGAGAGAGAGAGAGAGAGCAGACTTGTGATGAGAGAATCCAGAATACTGGTGTGATGGAGTGCCTTGAGTTCACTGGAAAGCATTGTCAACCACAGCTGCGCTCCCATCGCCGAGCTGCAGAAATGGTGAGAGAGAGGAGAATGGTGGAGAATAGGCAGAGTGAGATACAGACGAGTGGTGAGAGAATTCATAAGCCCTCTGTCCTCTTGGCTTCTGTCCTCTTGGCTTCTGTCCTCTTGGTCTCCCCTGTTCTGGCTGGTAACGGGGCATGCGAGAGTGGGCATTTTTGCCAGCCAGGACCAACCCTGCATACTGCCCACCCATCTCCAGGGCATGTACAAGCGGGCAATTTCTGCCATTTAGAAGCAACTCTGCCTACTTTCACGTCTGCATGCATGTTTGCACGTGTCTTCCCCGTCCAGGCTAGTGGAGGGGCATGTGCGGGTGGGCATTTTTTGAGTCGACTCAAAACTAGGCATGTTTCCCGTCTCTACCTCTCCCATCCAGGCTAGTGGAGGGGCATGTGCGGGTGGGCATTTTCGCCATCAAGGACATTGCAGTGGGCACAGAAGTGGCGTATGATTACAGGTGCTGTGATTGGGTGGCTGGGTGGGTGGGTGGGTGGCTGGCTGGCTGGCTGGCTGTTTGGGTGGGCAGGTGGGTGGGCAGGTAGGTGGGTGCGTGCGAGTGAGTGGGTGCGAGTGAGTGGAGGGGCATGTGCGGGTGGGCATTTTCGCCATCAAGGACATTGCAGTGGGCACAGGTGGGCACAGAAGTGGTGTATGATTACAGGTGCTGTGATTGGGTGGCTGGGTGGGTTGGTGGGCGGGTGGTTGGGATGCTGGTATTCAAACATCAATCTGTGAGAAGCCATGCTCACACCTTCATACAGAATGTTCCTGCCTCTCATCCCATTCCCCCTTGAGCACTCTAACAGTGCTTTTGAGTCGACACTCCAATGCATTCCCCCTTGAGCACTCTAACAGTGCTTTTGAGTCGACACTCAAATGCATTCCCCCTTGAGCACTCTAACAGTGCTTTTGAGTCGACACTCAAATGCATTCCCCCTTGAGCACTCTAACAGTGCTCGCACAGCTTTTTGGGCATCACTTGTGAGAATCCTCTAAAGTCAATGTTTCCATGAGAATTTGAGAATCCTCAAAAGTCAATGTTTCCATGAGAATTCGAGAATCCTCAAAGGTCAATGTTTCCATGAGAATTCGAGAATCCTCAAAGGTCAATGTTTCCATGAGAATTTGAGAATCCTCAAAGGTCAATGTTTCCATGAGAATTTGAGAATCCTCAAAGGTCAATGTTTCCATGAGAATTTGAGAATCCTCAAAGGTCAATGTTTCCATGAGAATTCGAGAATCCTCGAAGGTCAATGTTTCCATGAGAATCTGAGAATCCTCAAAGGTCAATGTTTCCATGAGAATCTGAGAATCCTCAAAGGTCAATGTTTCCATGAGAATCTGAGAATCCTCAAAGGTCAATGTTTCCATGAGAATCTGAGAATCCTCAAAGGTCAATGTTTCCATGAGAATTTGAGAATCCTCAAAGGTCAATGTTTCCATGAGAATTTGAGAATCCTCAAAGGTCAATGTTTCCATGAGAATTCGAGAATCCTCAAAGGTCAATGTTTCCATGAGAATTTGAGAATCCTCAAAGGTCAATGTTTCCATGAGAATCTGAGAATCCTCGAAGGTCAATGTTTCCATGAGAATTTGAGAATCCTCAAAGGTCAATGTTTTCATGAGAATCTGAGAATCCTCAAAGGTCAATGTTTCCATGAGAATCTGAGAATCCTCAAAGGTCAATGTTTGCATGAGAATCTGAGAATCCTCAAAGGTCAATGTTTGCATGAGAATCTGAGAATCCTCAAAGGTCAATGTTTGCATGAGAATCTGAGAATCCTCCAAGGTCAATGTTTTCATGAGGAGTCATTCACACCTTTTCTCACCTCTCTCACCCCATTCCCCCTTGAGCACTCTTGCGGGGTTCACACAGATTTGTGAGCTTCTTTTAAGTCGACTTTTGATTCGACTCAAAAGTTCACACCTTTTCTCACCACCCCATTCCTCATCGAACACTCTTGCGCTGTTCACACAGATTTGTGAGCTTCGGCCCGAACAAAGCTTGTCAGTGCGGTGCAGAGCGGTGCCGCGGAGTTATCGGGGCCAACCCTCCAACCACAGCAACAGCCACTCCTGCCGCACCTGCGCCTGCCAAACCAGAGGGGCAGGCTGGGACCGTACCTAGGGCAAAGCCCTGGAATAAAGCGGCAGGGGAAGGGGCAGGGACAAGAACAAAGGGGTTGCTTTGGGGCACAAGGGGTGCGAGATCAAGACGTATGTTGACGCATCTGTCTCCCCCCTGGTGGCAGCAGCACCAGCAGCAGTGGCTACTACACCACCTCGTAACGTGATCGCTACATTCTTTCAATATTTCTTGCTAAGTATGGTTACAATTCAATTTGTTTCTGGAAAGGATCCCTTCCCTAATAAAGTCAATGTTGCTGGCAGTGCACACAGTTCAGTACAGTACCACAACATGACATTAGGTGTAGAGTATTCAGGACTCCCATCCTCTCCCGAAACACTTCATCTGGCTAGGCTTCGCCATCAGCTAAAAATGGTCCCTTTTTTTCTGGGTGAAGGACCCTACTTGGGTTAAGTCATTATCACACAAAGGATACAAACGATAAGAAATTAGAGCACGAGTTAGTTAGTTCCTACAGTATCCTAGGTGAAACTGCTGTCACCCCAGCCAGCACGTAAACAAAAGAGTTAGTTGCATTGAATGCGTTTTTAGCAGCGCTGAAGAGCTAACAGGGCTGCTGAACTCATTCATGATTGATGCGTCATCACATCATCATGCTTCAAACCAGAATGCTGCCGGTGCGGCTGCTGGTGGTAGTGGCGGTGGTGGTGATGCTGGTGGTTGTTGTAGTGGGTACTCCCATGTTGCTTCACGAATGGCGATGTGCTTCAGCCGTGGTAGGCCGGCAGGCTGGCAGGCTGGCCAAAAAGCAGCCCATTATTCCCTGCTCTCTCCCCCTTCCCCCACCCCCCTCCCCCTCCTGCTCCCCCCCACCTTGCAGCTTCTAGCACTGCTAATGCTACTTGCCCCAGAGGTTCTCCAGCCATCCTCCTTTCTTTGCTGACTTGGGGGGCGATGCAGATGCGTCAGCTGCACTCGTTGGTTCCTGTGCTGCTGGCGGTGGTGCTCGGGCCTCTGCTGCCTCTGGGCATGGGAGACAGGAACAGGGGGGGAGGGAGGGAGGAGGGGAGAGAGAGAAATCAGAGACGTCTCAAAAGGGATGTGAGGACGAGGAAGAGAGAGCGACAGCTGGTGGCCACATGTCGCCTAGATGGACAAGTGAATTTTTGAGACGTCTCTAAAATTCACTTTATACATACAGCTGGTGGCCACATGTCGCCTAGATGGACAAGTGCGGAAAAAAACACGCGTTGAAGTCAGCACTATGACCCTCCCCATGAGCCATTGCCCGTTCCCCCCACATGAGCCATGCCCCTTCCCCCACATGAGCCATGCCACTATCCAGCCATGGGAGGATAATATCCACACACCTAGAGCTACCATCACCCTCCCATCAGCCATGACCATCTCATGAGCCATCCATGAGCCAGCATGTTACCTTCAGCTGTCATGCACATCCATCCATACTGCACCCACCCACCCACCTCACCCCACCACACCATCACCATCCCCCAGTCATGTCACTCACCCACATGCCACCCATCTATACTGCACCCACCCCACCCCATCACACCACCACCACTATCCAGTCATGCCACTCACCCATGCTTCGATCCTCCTCTTGTCTCATACTTTGCCCCTCCTCTCGTCTCTCCATGCTAGCTGGTTGACTCCGCTCCTCGTCCGTCTCCCAAACTGGCCCTCCCACTCCCGTCCCTCCTCTCTCTCCCCCCACTCCTCCTCCCACTCCTCCTCCTCCCACTCCTCCTCCTCCCTCTCCTCCGCTCTCTCTCTCCCTTTGCCCTTCACTCTGGCCGCTGTCACTAGGAGACCGCACAGGGGCTAATTTCCCCCCGTAATTCCCACTCCCACTGACCTGACTCCCCATATTCCCACTCCCCATATTCCCACTCCCAAGCCCTCCACTCATCCCCCCACTTCCTAGCCTGCTTCCCAAGCCGCCCCCACTTCCTAGTCTGCCGCCCAGCCCACTCCCCCCAGCGCCATGTAACATCGCGCCATGGTTACCACTCCCGCCATATGCACTGCTGCCGTACCCCTCACTCCCATAGTTCCCACTACCCAACGCATGCCCCTTGGCATAATTCCCACTCCCATACGCTTCACTCCCGTAATTCCCACTCCCATACGCCTCCTCTCCCCTATAATTCCCATTCCCTTGCTCCCCCCCAAGATTACTCCTCCCCAGCCTCCCCCCATAATCCCCTCCCCCTCCCACACCACCGCCCCCGTAGTTCCCGCTCCCTAACCTCCCTCCGAAGCTCCCGCTCCCATACGCCCCACTCCCAGTGGCGCCAGAACTGCCGGCTAGCCGGCTAGCTGCCGGCTGAACGTCCTCCTGGAAGGAAACCTGCCGGCTGCTGCGGCCGGAGGTGCGGGGAGGGAAGGCAGAGGGGCCAGTGGCAGTGCTGGTGTGGGTCTTGAGACTGGGGTGCAGAGGAGGGTGGTGGGACTGCTGCTGCTGGTGATGCTGCTGCTGCTGCTGGTGTCTGTATAAGGGTGGGAGGGCGCTGTGTGTGTTGAACTGATCTACGCTGTCCTCCTCTTCTTCCTCCTCCTCTCCCTCCTCTTCCTCTTCCTCCTCTTCCTCTTCCTCTTCCTCCCCTTCCCCCTCGGTTCCCTCCTCTGTTTCTTCCTCTTCTTCCTCTTCCTCTTCTTCCTCCTCCTCCTCGTCCTCCTCATCCTCCTCCTCTTCCTCCTCATCCTCCTCCTCCTCTTCCTCTTCCTCCTCCTCTTCCTCCTCCTCTTCCTCCTCTTCCTCTTCCTCCTCTTCCCCAGTTTCTTCTGTCTCGCCAGTCATACCTGTTTCCTCTGTTTCCCCAGAGCCTTCCGTTTCCTCGGTTTCCTCTTCTGTTTCTCCCTCTGTTTCTCCCTCTGTTTCTCCTTCTGTCTCTCCCTCTGTCTCTTCTGCCTCCCCAGTCACCTCCTCACTCCCTTCCTCTGTCACTTCCTCTGTTCCCTCCTCCTCACTTCCCTCCTCACTTCCTTCCTCTGTCACTTCCTCTGTCACTTCCTCTGTTCCCTCCTCCTCACTCCCCTCCTCACTCCCTTCCTCTGTCACTTCTTCTGTCACTTCCTCTGTTCCCTCCTCACTCCCCTCCTCACTCCCCTCCTCACTCTCCTCCTCTTCCCCCTCACCAGTCTCACCAGTTACTTCTGTTCCATGGCTTCTCCAGCTCTCTCCTTGCACACCTCCTTCCCCAATCCCTCTACCCCCTTCTTGCTCCTCCCGAGCCTCTAGCCTCGGCTCGAGGCTCAGCTCCGGAACAAGGTCCGGGCGCCCATGCCTGTTGTGCCCTTCCCCCCCTCTCACTCCATCTCCCTTTCCCCCTTCAGCCTCCCTGTGTCCACCACCCCCCACTCCCGCGCTCCCTTCTCGCCCCTCACCCGAACCTGCATTTCCCGAATCTGCAGCGCCTGCACCCGAACCTGCCGCCGGACCTGCACCGCTCGCAGAACTTGTCCCTCCTTTTTGGCTCCTCGACCCGGCGTCGAGCCAAGAAAACCCACCGTACAACGCCGGACCTGGAGCCAACTTTTGAGGCTCGGCTTTTACCCGAGGCAAAGGAGAGGATCGGTAAGGCAGGTATCCTGAGCTGTGGTCACTCAAATCCAAATAACTCCCCTCATACCTCCCACTGAAGCCACTCCTTTTGCTGCTGCCCCTGCCGCTGCTGCCGATACTGGCCCCACTTGCAACACTCGCCCCATCCCCGTCCCCACCATTATCCTCTTCATTATCTTCCTCGTTATCCCCTTCAGTGTACCCACTCGCACTGCTGCCGCTCCTGCTCAGCCTCCCGCTGCTACCCCGATCCAGCCCTTCCAAACCTGGCGAGTTGCCTCGGGAATTGCCTCGGGAGTCGCCTTGGGAGTTGCCTTGGGAATTCCCCTGCGAGCCCCCTGAACTGCGGGGCGTGTGGGGAGTGGACGAACCTGCAGCTTGCTGCCACTCCAGAATCCGCTGCTGTATCGCATTCAACCCCCCCGCACCGTCTGCACCATTACCAGCACCCGCAGCAACACCCACACCTGCAGCAGCGGCGGCAACACCCTCAGGATCAGGCTCAGCTCTGCTACTACTATGACCATTCACCCCACTCCCTCCCGGCCACTCCTTAGTATTAACCCTACTGGTATGCGGACTAGCATGCCGGCTAGGGTGGGGACTCGCATGTCTGCTCGGGTGGGGACTAACATGTGGGCTGGCCCGCGGGCTAGGCCCAACCCCTCTCTCCCCAGCGGGTCTTAGCGCTGCCTTCCAGTCAACTGTGTTCTGCCGGCTGTTGCTCTCCGGCTGACTGCTAGCCGGCGGGCCTGCCGGCCGCAGGTGCGCGCGCCAGTTCGGATCGCTCTGCTCCGTGCTCCCAGTGGCCAGCCGCGCGGAAGAGTCAATGTGTCTCAGAGGCACGGACGGGGCTTCTAGTGGCATAACCACCGCCCCTCCTCCTGCTCCTGCGCCTCCTGTTTGGTGCAAAGACGGCCATTCTTGGGTGTTCTGCCTGCTGCCTGGTCGGCTGCTGGGTCTGCTTCCCGCCTGCTGCTGCTTCTGGATTGAAGCGGGTGTGGGCCACTCTTGAGTGTTCTGCCTGCTGCCCTGCCTGCTCCCCTGCGGCTGCGGCTGAGCCGGCACAGGAGCTGGCCATTCTTGAGTGTTTTGCCTGCTGCCTGCTCTGCTCCCCTGCTGCTGTTGCTGCTGTTGGACCGACTGAGGAGTGGGCCACTCTTGGGTGTTCTGCCTACTGCCTGCTCTGCTCCCCTGCTGCTGTTGGACTGACTGAGGGGCAGGCCATTCGTTTGTGTTCTGCCTACTGCCTGCTCTGCTCCCCTGCTGCTGTTGGACTGACTGAGGGGCAGGCCATTCGTTTGTGTTCTGCCTGCTGCCCCGCCTGCTCCCACCCCACATACCCCCGCCATCACCAGCAGCACCGCCAGCTCCCATCTCGCGGTTGAAACTCCCTGCTTGCTGCATGCGAATAGCAGCAGCAGAGGCCCCACCGCCTGCCGCCGCCACCACCGCTGCTGCTGCTGCGATCGCAGCGTACCCCGCCTCTCTCCCTCCTCCCTCCTCTCCCTCTGTGCTGCTTCCCTCTGCCTCCGTCTCTCCCTCCGTCTCTCCCTCGGTCTCTTCTTGTGACGAGCCCTGTTCTCCTCCCTCGCCTGTGTCCTGCTCTCTGCTACTCTCTTCCTTCAGGGGCACCACACTGATCGATCCATCCTCCTCCTCGTCCTCCTCTTCTTCCTCGTCCTCTTCCTCTTCCTCCTCTTCCTCCTCTTCCTCCTCCTCCTCCTCCTCCTCCTCCTCCTCCTCCTCCTCCTCCTCCTCCTCCTCCTCCTCCTCCTCCTCCTCCTCCTCCTCCTCCTCCTCCTCCTCCTCCTCCTCCTCCTCTTCCTCCTCTTCCTCCTCTGTCACTTCCTCCTCTTCTTCCTCTTCCTCCCCTTCCTCCTCTGTCACTTCCTCCTCTTCTTCCTCTTCCTCCCCTTCACCTTCTGTTCCCTCCTCTGTTTCTTCCTCTTCCTCCCCTTCCCCCTCTGTTCCCTCCTCTGTTTCTTCCTCTTCTTCCCCCTCCTCTTCCTCCCCTTCCCCCTCTGTTCCCTCTGTTTCTTCCTCTTCCTCCTCTTCCCCCCCTTCCCCTTCTGTCCCCTCCTCTGTTTCTTCCTCCTCCTCCTCCTCCTCTTCCTCCCCTTCCCCCTCTGTCCCCTCCTCTGTTTCTTCCTCTTCCTCCTCTCCCTCCGTCTCCTCCTCCGTCTCTTCCTCTCCCTCTCCCACCCACCCCTCCCCACCCTCCCCAGCACCTGGAACCCCATCATAGCTCCCCTCACTCTCCTCCGTCTCTCCTTCTGTCTCCGTTACCATCTGACCCACTTCATCATACAAGGCAAGTTGGGATTCAGTCATAGAGGTAACATCATCATCAATCGTTTGCTCCTCGCCTATAGTGTGAACCGTCACCTCCCCCTCGCCCCCTTCCTCCTCCCCACCATAGTATGACGCCCCTTGATCCTCTTCTGTCCCTTCCTCCTCCTCTTCTTCGTCCTCCTCCTCTTCCTCCTCCTCCTCCTCCTCCTCCTCCTCTTCCTCCTCCTCCTCTTCTTCCTCCTCCTCCTCCCCCTCCCCTGTTCCTTCAGTCACTTCTGTCTCTTCAGTATCTTCAGTCACTTCCCCTTCAGTCACCTCTTCCCCTGTCACTTCTTCTGTCACCTCCTCTTCTGTCACCTCCTCTTCTGTCACCTCCTCCCCTGTCACCTCCTCTTCTGTTACCTCTTCCCCTGTCACCTCTTCTTCTGTCACCTCCGTTCCTTCCTCTGTTGCTTCTTCGGTCCCATACCCTTCCTCCTCTCCCTCCTCCTCTTCCTCCTCCTCCTCCTCCTCCTCCTCCTCCTCCTCCTCCTCCTCCTCCTCCTCCTCCTCCTCCTCCTCCTCCTCCTCCTCCTCCTCCTCCTCCTCCTCCTCCTCCTCATATTCCTCCTCTTCTGTCTCTTGGGTTATTTCCTCCTCTGTTCCCTCCACTGTCTCTTCCTCCTCTTCCTCTTCCTCCTCATAATCCTCAGTCACTTCCGTCCCCTCTTCTTCCTCCTCTTCCTCTTCCTCCTCATATTCCTCAGTCATTTCCGTTTCCTCAGTCCCCTCCTCCTCCTCTTCCTCCTCTCCCTCGCCTTCCTCCTCATAATCCTCTGTCACTTCAGTGACTTCTGTTCCCTCCTCCTCCTCCTCCTCCTCCTCCTCCTCCCCTTCCTCTTCCTCTTCCTCCTCCTCCTCATCCTCTCCCTCGCCTTCCTCCTCATAATCCTCTGTCATTTCAGTGACTTCTGTTCCCTCCTCCTCTTCCTCCTCCTCTTCCTCCTCCTCCTCCTCCTCCTCTTCTTCCTCCTCGTAATCCTTCGTCGTTTCTTCTGTCCCTGTGACCTCTTCTGTCCCTGTGACCTCCTCCGTCCCTGTCACTTCTTCGGTCCCTGTAACCTCCTCTGTCCCAGTTACCTCCTCCGTAACTTCTTCTGTACCCTCCTCTGTCTCTGTATACTCCTCATCCTCTTCCTCCTGTTCTTCCTCTTCCTCCTCCTCATCCTCCTCTTCTTCCTCCTCTTCCTCCTCATCCTCCTCTTCTTCCTCTTCCTCCTCCTCATCCTCATCCTCCTCTTCTTCCTCCTCTTCCTCCTCATCCTCCTCCTCTTCTTCCTCCTCCTCCTCATCCTCCTCCTCATCCTCCTCCTCCTCCTCATCCTCCTCTTCATCCTCCTCCTCATCCTCCTCCTCTTCATCCTCCTCCTCTTCAGTCTCCTCCTCAATAACCTCAGCAGTCACAACGCCGCTATTCCCCTCACCATCCCCCCATCCCGCGCCACCATAAACACCCGAAGCAGACGACGAAACCACCGCAGCCGAAACAGCAGAGCCAGACGACACCCCCTCGTCAAAACTCACTTCCTTCCTCCTCCTACCACCACCCGCTGCAGCAACTCCCATTTGCTGCTGCTGCTGCTGCTGCTGCTGCTGCATTTGACCACTCGTTTGCTCCCCTGACGTCAACACTTCACCTACAGGAACATCATCCTCCTCCTCCTCCTCCTCCTCACTCGATGCAAACGACCATTCTCTCTCACTCCCCTCCCTCTCCCCCTCCCCTCCTCTGCCTCTCCCTCCTTCCTGTCGCAAACCGCCTCCTGCCTGCTCCTCCTGCTTCCGCCTCTCCTCCTCCTCCTGCCGTTGCTGCTGCTGCCGTTGCCGTGCCATCTCAACAGCAGCCGCAGCTGATATAGACGAAGCCATGATTGCACTAGTCAAAGCATCATTTGCCCCCATGCCTCTTTCCCCTCCATCCGCACCCCCCATCATCCTATCCCCGCTAGGAGTAACACTCCTCTCAGCACTTAACAAAGTGTCGGTATTTCTCGACTCAACCTCTGACTCGTCCGGGCTCGACCAATCAGCAGAGCTCCGGGATGCAGTGGTGCTAGCACTGGTCGGCCGGCCCCGAGCCAAGGCCGCAGGCGTGCCTGCCGAACCTACGGCTCCCGGGCCTAGCGGCGGACGGCGCGAACCCCAACCACTTGCCGAACCTGCCCCTCCTCCTGCCGCCCCTGCCGCTCCTGCCACCCCTGCTGCTGCAGCAGCACTGGCAGAAGCACCGGTACCCTCACCCCCCTCTCCACCACCATCACCCCCTTCACTATCATATGCTGTTGCATATGACTCATCCCTCCCAAACCTCACACTCCTCCCCCCTTCAGGCGCTGTGGCCCAAGACTCGTCCCTCTCAAACCCCATGCTCCTCCCCTCCTCCGCCCCTTCTCCCCCACCCCCAATACCGCTGCCACTGGCTATAGCAGCACCAGCAGCGGCACCAGCACCAGCAGGAATCGGCCGGAGGGGAAAGGAGGGTGCTTCAGAGGACATTGGGAAGGCAGCAGCAGGAGCGGGCGCGGGTGTGGGTCGGAGGGGGAAGGAGGGGGAGGCGGAGGGGCCAGGGGGAGGGGGGAGGGCGGTAGGGGGAAGGGCGGAGAGGCGGGGGTCAATGGGTGGGGGAGGGAGGGGGGATGGACCCATAGGTCCTCCTGGCAAAGAGTCCCCCTTGCTATCAGCATCCTTGCTGTTGTCTCTCCAGCTGCCACCGCTGCTGCTGCTGGGTCCTCCTACCCCTCCTGGCCCCCCTGTACCGTGCACAACCACTTGTATCCGCCCTGATGGGGATGCTGGTGGTGACGGTTCCTTCTTCTCGCCCTGCTGCTGCTGCTGCTGCTGCTGCTGCTTCTCCTGCTGCTGCTGCTTCTCCTGCTCCTGCTCTTGCTGTGGCTGCTTCTGTCCCCATCGGAAAGGCATGAGCGCGAAAGCACCCACAGCTGCGGCTGCTGCTGCGAATCCCTCAGCCACACTCATCCCTCCCGCTCCTGCCGCTCCTCCTCCTGCTTCTGCTGCTCCTGCTGTGCCTGCTCCTTCCGCTGCTCCTGCTGCCATGGCAGGTGGTGGGGTCAACGCTGCTGAAGTGGAAGCAGCAGCACCACTGGCAGCAAAACCACCCACTGCCCCCCCCACTGCTGCTCCTCCTGCTGCTGCCCCTCCTGCTGCTGCGGCTCCTGCTCCTCCTGCTGGTGCTCCTGCCGCTCCTGGTGCTACCCCTCCCGCTGCCCCTGATTGCACAGCACCACTATCCCCGCTATAAGCCTCTGCTTCTACAACATCATCATCATCACCCTCGCTCCTCTCATCCTCACTCTCCTCCTCGCCCTCCCCTTCAGACCCTATCTCAACTATCGTTTCATGCATCACCGGTCGGCTTCTCAACCCCCCTGCTGCTGCTCCTGCTGCCGCTCCCACTGCAACCCCTGCTGCTACACCAGCAGCAGCAGGGGAATCAGCAGCAGGAGTGGCGGGCGTGGGTGGAGGGGGAGGAAGCTGGGGCGGAGTCTGTTGGTAGGGAAACAAAGGAGGCAGGGAGATGAGAATGAGAATGAGAATGACTGAAGCAGTAGCTGAGTGACTTGCGTGAAGCATTGTCGTTATCGTCACAAAACGCCTATAACTCACCCCTCCAAGTTTTGGAGGAGCCAGCAACTGTCATTGCTCTCTCATATGGTTCTTAAACACTTCTCTATAACTCAAGCCTCCAAGGCCTGTCACTCACCCGTCCAAGGTTCCTCCCTCCTCTGGTCATCTGACTCCGTATCAACATCAACATCATCAGATGTTGGCAGCGCCATCGGCACTTCGTCCGACTCCTCTGCCGTTGTTCGAGTCGACTCAAAACCACATGAGTGTAACTCACCCGTCCAAGACCTTAAACTCACCCGTCCAAGACCTTAAACTCACCCGTCCAAGACCTTGAACTCACCCGTCCAAGGTTCCTCCCTCCTCTGGTCATCTGACTCCGTATCAACATCAACATCATCAGATGTTGGCAGCGCCATCGGCACTTCGTCCGACTCCTCTGCCGTTGTTCGAGTCGACTCAAAACCACATGAGTGTAACTCACCCGTCCAAGACCTTAAACTCACCCGTCCAAGACCTTAAACTCACCCGTCCAAGACCTTGAACTCACCCGTCCAAGGTTCCTCCTCTGGTCGTCTGACTCCGTATCAACATCATCAGAAGACGTTGGCAGTGCCATCGGCACTTCATCCGACTCCTCCGCCGTCTCCTCCCCTCCTCCTCTCCCACTCCCTCCTCTCCCACTCCTCCCACCCCTCCCCACCTTCTCACTACTCTCCTCCTCCCGAGTGCTGTACCCCTCCCCTTCCTCCCCGACCTCCACACTCGTATACTCCTGACTCTCCCCCACAGGCAGCGCCATCACCACCTCCTCCCCGCTCTCTCCTACTGCACCGCTCTCCGTTTTCCTCCCCCTCTCCCCCCCACCAGTGCTGGCACCAGCAGGCGTGGAGGGACCGGCACCAGCAGCAGCAGCAGCCCGATCAGCTGCCTGCTCGATGCGGCGTCGCAGGGGCGAGTCGCTGCCGCCACTGACAGGCTTGGAGCGACTTGAATCGTACGGGCCGGACCTGGAGGATGGGTGGTGGGTAAGGGAAGATGCGAGGGGAGAAGGAGAGAGGTGGAAGTGAGGGGAGAGTCGGTGCCGCCACTGATGGGCTTGGAGCGACTCGAATTATACTGGCCAGACCTGGAAAAAGGGGAGGGTAGAGAAGACGTGAGGAAAGGAGCTGAAGTGGGGGTAGAGGGGCCAACACCAGCAGTGCTGGCAGCAGCAGGGGTGGAAGGGGGGACACCACCAGCAGCAGCAGCAGCAGCCCGAGAAGGAGGAACTGACCTGGGTGGCATGGCAGGGAGGAACTGACCTGGGAGGCATGGCGCCGAATCCAGCCATGTGCATGCGAGTGTTGGAATCCATCTCCTCTGAATACAACTATGAGACGCCTCACAACCCTGCACTCTCTCTCCTCCTCCACTTCCGAACCTGAGTCGCTCCTGAGAAATTCCAACACCAAGAAAGAGCTGACCTGGCTGGGGGCAAGGAGGAGGAGGAGGAGGAGGAGGAGGAGGAGGCAGGGAAGAGCTGACCTGGCTGGTGGCAAGGAGGAGGAACTGACCTGGGAGGCATGGCGCCGAATCCAGCCATGTGCATGCGGGTGTTGGAATCCATCTCCTCTGAATACAACGCCGCACTCTCCTCCTCTTCCTCCTCCTCCTCGTCCCTCTCCTCCGTCTGTTCCGTCTGCTCGCCTGTTTCCCCCCCAGCCCCCCCTGCTTCTCGGGATGAGAAGGACGCAGAGGTAGGCTGCGCTGCTGCAGCAGAACCACCCGCTGCTGCTGCTGCTGCTGCTGCTGTGCCGACGGCTATGGCTGCAGCACCAGCAGCAGCGCCACCAGCAGCAGCGCCACCCGCAGCAGCGCCACCAGCAGAAGCAGCGGGAGGAGCGGCAGGGGCAGCACTCCCAGTGTCGAGGGCAGAAGCAGTGGTGTCGGGGAATTCGAGGGAGGGCGGGTTGGCGAGGGGGTTAGTGATGTAGATGCGAGGGGAGGAGCCCGCTGACCCGCCGTGCTTCATGCAGTAGGGATCCGCACAGCTGGAGCCACTGTGGTGGGGGAGAGAGAATGAGGGGGGAGCAGCCAGAGAGTGGGGTCAAGGAGGGTAGCAGCTTTGTGACTCGCCGTGCTTCATGCGGTAGGGATCCGCGCAGCTGCAGCCTCTGTGGTGGGAAGAAGGGGGGGAGAGAGGAGCGGAAACGGTAGGTGAAACGAAGTTGGAGGGGGTGAGGGGTGGAGAAAGGGGGGGAAACAGGAGGGGGGGAAGGGATAATGGGAAGGAGGTCAACGCATACCCTCACTCACCCATGCGCTCCCTCATTCTCTCCCTCAGACACTCACTCGCTCACACCCCCCTCACGCACACACACTCACCCGCACAGGAGCCCACGTCGCAAGCTGCTCTCCTCCTCGTCCTCCTGATTAGTCAAATACCGAACCAGCAGGAGGCTGACCGGGTATGCCACCGGGGACAGTAGGAGCAGCAGCAGGCGGGCGGGCCATGCGGTGGCAGAGGCGATACGGAGGGTGTGTGGCTGACCCTCCTTCTCCCTCTCCCACTCCCTCTCCCTCTCCCACTCCCTCTCCCTCTCCCACTCCCTCTCCCTCTCCCACTCCTTCTCCCTCTCCTTTTCCTTCTCCCTCTCCTTTTCCTTCTCCCTCTCCCACTCCCTCCTCCCTCTCCCACTCCCTCTCCCTCTCCTTTTCCTTCTCCCTCTCCCACTCCCTCTCCCTCTCACTCACTCCCACACACTCACACCCACACACAAGAAAACTTACCCGCACAGGAGCCCGCGTCTCAGGCTGCTCTCCTCCTCATCTTCTTGATTGTTCAAATACCGGACCAGCAGCAGGCTGACCAGGTAAGCCACCGGGGACAGTAGGAGCAGCAGCAGGCGGGCGAGCCATGCGGTGGCGGAGGCGATGCGCAGGGAGTGTGGCACTTACTGATTCCTCTCTTTCGAACGATCCTTTGTATTAGGCCCTCTTCCAATCACACAGAAGCACACACACTCACCCGCACAGGAGCCCGCGTCGCAAGCTGCTCTCTTCCTCATCTTCTTGATTGTTCAAGTACCGGTCCAGCAGCAGGCTGACCGGGTAAGCCACTGGAGAGAGCAGCAGCAGCAGCAGGCGGGCGAGCCACGCGGTGGCGGAGGCGATGCGCAGGGAGTGGCGCGCACAGATGGCGGGGGGAGCGATTTCGACGAAGAGGAGGATGAGGAGCACGCAGAGGACGAATCCCATCACCATGCCCAACACACCTGGGAGGAACGGGAAGGGTTGGGTGGAGAGGAGTAGGGAGGGGTGAAGTGGGGTGAAATGAATGAGAGGAGCGATTCCCACAAAGAGGAGGATGAGGAGCACGCAGAGGACGAATCCCATCACCATGCCCAACACACCTGGGAGGAACAACAGGATGGAGCAGGGGATGGGAGGGAGTAGTGGGGTGGAGAGCGGTGGAAGAGGGTGGGAGGGATGAAATAGCTGGTCTCCACGACGAGCAGGATGAGCAGCACGCAGAGGGTGGAGAGTGGAGCAGGGGAGGAGTGTGGTAGGGAGGGGTGGGGAGCAGTGGACCGGGGTGAGATGCATGTGAAGAGGAGGATGACCCCACCTGAACCCACCTGACCCGACCTGACCCGACCTGAGCCCACCTGAGCCCACCTGAGACCCATCTGACCCCACCAGCGTCCCACCTGACGCCACCTGACCCCACCTGATGCCACCTCAGCCCCACCAAGGTCCCACCTGAGACCCATCTGAGACCCATCGAGACCCACCTGAGACAAAGAGCGTGAAGCTGACGTTGACACTGGTGCTGGCGACCAATAGCGTGGTGAGCAGCAGGCTGCCACGTGTGCGCAGCGCTGCCACCTTGGCAGCCTGCCACCTCAGCCGCTCGTCCACGCCATCCATTGCCGCCTGCTCGCGGAGGGGGAGAGGGGGGAGGTTGGGGAAGGTGGGTGGGGGAGAAGCGGGTGGGGTGGGTGGGAGGTGCTTTTAGGGTCGACTCAGCAGCCACCCCAGCCGCTCGTCCACGCCATCCATTGCCGCCTGCTCTAAAGAGAGGGGGGGGGGGGGGGGGTTTGGGAGGGAGGGAGGGGGGGGAGAGGAGGTGGGGGGAAAGTTGGGGGAGGTGGGTGTGGGGGGGAGGGAGAGGGAAGGTGGGCGGGGTCGGCTCAGCAGCCACCCCAGCCGCTCGTCCACGCCATCCATTGCCGCCTGCTCCAAAAGGTGGGGAGGGGGGGAGGGCGAGGGGGGGGTTGTTTGTGGGGTTGGGGGGGGGGGGGAAGGGGAGGGGTCTGGTTACCAGTAGCGGGGGTTACCTGCAACGTGGCCATGTCAAGCCCGAGGGTAGACGACATCATGCAGGAGATCACGAGCGACATGCCCAGCAGGCAGCACGCGGAGATGGGGAACGCGATGAGCTCAGCGGTGGAGAGCGGTGGGAGCCAGCCGGAGTCGGCGTAGCAGGAGTCGTAGCAGTCGATGGTGGGCCCGTCGCACGCGTTCAGACACGCCACAATGCCGTTGCTCGGCGCGCACGCCCCCAGCCGCGCCAACGGCGCCCAGCAACTCATGCTGCTGCTGCTGCTGTTGCTGCTGCTGCTGCTGCTGCTGCTGTTGTTGTGATCCCTCCGTTCCTCTCCCTGCTACTGCCACTGTATCTACTCCTTCCTTACTCCTGCTGCTGCTGCTGTTCCTCCTCTTCCTCTTCCTCCTCCTCCTCCTCCTCCTCCTCCTCCTCCTCCTCCTCCTGCTGCTGCTTCTGCTGCTGCTGCTGCTGCTGCTGCTCTCTTGCGCCCGTATAGGCACACCCTCTCTTGCGCCCGCTTCCCACTGGTGCACCCCAGCTCTTCTGGCTCCTCCCAGGCTGCCTCTCGCCAAGCCGCAATGTGCAATTCGCAATCTGTACGCGACACGCAATCAGCTTCGTATCCCCTCTTTCCCTGTTATCTTCTTGCTTTCGCCCTCGCCGCTCGCCTGTTTCCCTGTGCAATCGCTCGCTGCGGGTCCTTCTAGTCGCGCAAGAGTTCAGCTTCTTATTTCCAGCCCCTTTCCCTCAGTCGCCGGCGTCGCACTTCAGCTGTAAAAAGTAGTAAGACCTGATAGGAATCAATATCGCGTTAGTGGAATTAGACGAGCCTATATCGAAGGTTTCACCCAGCAGGACCTGTCAACGTAATCCTGTCGTATTCCGTTACTATCATTGAGGTGCCTCTAATCTCGTTTCGTCGTATTCCGTTCTTATCCCCGTCGTTCTCCTCGTCGTCTGCCAACTCTTCCGCCATTCCCGGGGCATACGGCGCCGAAGCCGCGGCGTCACGAGTCTATCCAGTGCCGCTGAATGGCGGACGAAAAACGGTATCTGATTCTCGGCCAGTCTATGCTAGCGGTCTGATTGACGCTGCCTTGAAGCATGCCTGTTTCTCTCGCGCGCCACTGATTTGAACTACCTTTTCTAGGACGACGTTCAATATCGCGTATGGTTGAGAGTGCTTAGGTCTCGAAAGACAATGTATCAATCTATTGAAAGAACGGCAGAGCCTAGACTGCGTATGCAGCACCACTTACGTCACACGGGACTATGGTGGGAAGCTAAATTAGCAGAATAGAAACGTCGCATCGTAATAGTGCGTACCTAGCGTCACCATTCGTCAAGCTACGGACTTCGCGAACCAGACGATTTCGCGCCAAACAAAAAGCCCTTGCTACCTCTCTACTCGGCGTAACCTACTGCTTGGCCCGTGAAGTCACAACCGTCGGGTGTCGCCCTCGAGAATACCGCGCCATGCTCGAGCACAAAGCGCGTCATTCTCAAGGTGGGTGAGGGGACAGGATGGAGGGGCGAGGGGCGGGTGGGTGGGTGGTGGGCGGGAGGGGTACGAGGGAACTAGTTTGACCACTGACGGCAATCGAAGCAGCGTACACCGGGTACCGGCGCCAACGTGCTTTGATTCTTCCCGAACCAAATGCCCACGTTGACTTGCGGCGGTACGGAAACCAGCTGGACCCATGAGTTTGGTTCCAAAGCGCTTTTTGCCCAACCAGGGGTGTAGCTGAAGAGCTTTTACAAACCCAAGTGCGTGGTTTGGGGGATTCGCCCAGCCTGTACGAAAATCAGGTCTCGGCCAGGGATGGGAGGTTCGGCAATGTGTATGAGGCTTGCACCGTGTACGAAAGGCATTTCTCGTGGTTCGATCGTGCCGTCGATGGGCACGCAAACGTGTCGTCAAGTGCCCCACCAGAGCACTTGCCTCCGCCTGATAGGCTCTCGGAGCGTGACATTTACAGTAACTGGAGCCACGTCAGCCCTAACTTTGATCAAGTGCTTGCTTCCTCTGGCCTGTATCAACTGGACCAAAGCTGCCACCGAACCGTTGTGGATTGAAAGACCCGTTAATGTATGTACACCAGATGTTCTACAATTTGGCAACTAGCTCAATGTTCCCAAGTTTCCAAGGAAACACTCTTTTCAGAACTATTAAGCCAACTCAACCTATAAGATGGCACAGAAACAGTGGTGCATCTATAATGTTTGAACAACCACTAATCTCCAACCTCTCTATCTCACAAAGAAGAGCCAAGGATGGAGGTAGCCTTGTCAACCGGTCACAGCCCGTCAGCTCAAACGACTTCAGATTTGACATCAGGCCAACGCCTTCAGGAAGTTCCGAGAAATTCCTGCAGCAAGTGACCGTGAAATGCGTTAAAGATGAAAGTTGAGTGAAGGAAGATGGGATGTGTCGAAACTCAGGGCACCAACTGATGGACAGCTCTTGGAGGTTGGGCAGCAGAGAGAATTCTTCAGGCAGGGCAGAGAAAAGTTCACAATTGATGAGCTTGAGGCTTTCAAGAGATGATAGCTGGGAGAGTGTGTGAGGAAGAGTGGTAAGTCTGTTGCAGGCAAGCAGCTTCAAGGTCCGGAGATTTTTCAACTGCCCGATCGAATCGGGCAACTGCGACAGCTGGTACGTGTTGCAAAGCTCCAACTTTTCCAAAGCCAGCAAATCCCCGAAATCTTCGGGCAGCCTGAAAAGGTTTCGGCACCCTGTGATCACGAGGTCGGTCAGGCGGTCCAGCTTTGGGAGGGAAACGGGCAGCTCTGTAAGATTTTCGCAGTTGTGAATCTCAAGGCTCCACAGGTTGGGAAGAAAGCCAATGTCGTCTGGAAGAGTGAGAAAGCATTCGCTTATCTCAAGACCCTCTAACGAGGATAGACGGCTCATGGAGGAAGGGAGGTAGTGGAGGGAGTGGCAGGAGCAGAGGACCATGTTCCAAAGTTTTGGCAGCTGCCCGAGGGATTCTGGGAGGCTTGTGAGGCAAGGAAGAGCGAGCTCGAGCGTCTTGAGGGATTGCAGCTGACCGAAGTTATCAGGCAGAGATGTCAAGCTGTAGCAGGTGGTGGCACTGAAGTGAACGAGGCTGGAGAGCTCCCCGAAGGATTCGGGCAGGGCAGGCAACGAATTGCACTCCACCAGCTCTAAAACGCTGAGATTTTTCAGTCTGCCCAGGCTTTCGGGTAGAGCCCTGAGGTGAGGGGCCTGGAGGTGTAGGACTCGTAAAGCGGGCAGCTGCGAGATTTCTTCGGGCAGGCTGCGAAGGTCATCCAATGAGATGTCGAGGAACTCCAGTTGTGTCAGACACGTTAAGGACGGAGGGAGGAATTTGACGCTAGGTATAGTGTGAAGTCCGAGCCTCTCTAATCGCGTACAGGCTTGGAAGAATCCGTCCAAACCTATTTCCGTGACTCCTCCAGCTGACGACACACGCCTGGTAGCCGTTAGCGAGAATCGCTTGAGGTTCGGCAATGCCGAGCCTAAGCCAGAGATAATCTGATCGTTGACCACGTCAAGGCTGCGATTCGCTAGCTGCAGGGACGTTAGGTTCGGCATGGCTGACAATGCGCGGAGCAGCGACGCGCTCGAGATCTCCCTGCGACTGGCGACGCGAATGTTGGTTTGAGCGACTCGTGCGACGCGGAGCCATCGCTTGCAGACGAGGGCGTGGCGAAACGAAAAAAGGTCCGGGCCGAGCCGCGAGAGGAGGTGCGAAAGAAGGTCGTCGGAAAGATCGTCGAACGGACAAGCTGTTGGCTCCATAAGGGAGAAAGAGCGGATGATCGGCTCGTTGCTAATTTCAATTCCTGATGAAATCTGTAATTTCAAGTTGGAAAATGGATCTGAAGGAGAAGCTGATGAGGGGTCGAAGACGAACGGGTTAGAGCAAGGTGGACGAACATTGACAAAAGGCTCACGTTGATGTTCGCTCCGACACTTTCTCTGCAAATGCGGTAACCAAAACCGTGACAAATTGATTTCGCACCCGTCCTTGCCCCCCAGATTCACCTCCACGCACCTTTCCACACACCAATCACTCTCATCCCCAACAAACAGTAGCTATGATAATTGAACCCGTCATAAGTAACTAGTGTTATAGAACTTATCTAGCATTCTTTATGCAAGTTGCCTTGCAGTCAACCATGATGAAACTCCAAAATCGCGACCCATCTACCTACCGACCATTGTTGCGCCACATACCTGGCAAACTCTTGGAATATCGACATGTATTTATCAACACTAGCAGATGATACTGCAACAGAATTGCTACCTGGTGCTAGCTGCACCATTTATACAAGCAGGGGCACTACTACAACCCCCTAACTGCAACACACAGGAGGGAGGGGAGGATTAGGGGTGTGGGAAGGGAAAAAACCAGTGGGCTTATTGCAATAGAGGTATACCGGAGCAAAAGCCATACGGCGCCACCTGCAACCTATGATCGCCTCAATGGGTACACCAGACCAGAGCGGGAAGCAGGATCATGCTGAGTGTCATAGGAGAAGGCAGGTCAGATGGAAGGGCAGGAGGGGACTCGGCGGGAGTGAGGAGATTGTGAGTCGAAAGCAGATGGTGTGTGGTTGAAACGGGCTGACCTGCTGCCACGAATCTCAGCTCTTGACACAGGTCTGGGTTGATGCTGCTGCTGATTCTGATGATGTTGCTGCCGATGCTGATGATGCTGTTGATGAGAGTGCCGCTGACAGTGAGTCTGTTGCTCTTGACTGTTGGCACAACGATGGTGCTCCTGCTGCTGCGGATGATAAAGCTGCTGCCACTGCTGCTGCGGATTCTGCTGCTGCTGCTGCTGCTTGTGCAGAGGCAGAGGCGTGTAGGAAACAGCATCAGAGAAGCTTCGTCTCCTTGAACAGGGGCCGGCACCCAAGATGTTTCTCGGAAGCCTCTCTGCTGTACCAGAGAAGCTTCGCCTCCTTGGCGGGATGGAATGACCGTTGGAGGTGTAAGAGGGAGTTGAGTCCAGAGACGGGGTTGAGCCGAGGGGATACAAGCCACGGGAGGGAGTGGAAGAAAAGGACGGGGTTGAGGCGAGAGAGCGGGTGGAAGTGAATGAAGGAGTCAGGTGGAACGAATTGGACCTTCTGGGTTCATTATAATATGCCAGATCTGCCATCCAGGAGCGCGCATGCGGTGTGCACTGCCCCGCTCCAGTGGAGCCCCCATCGTCGCTGGAATTCTCGTCGGCAAAATCCGCCTCAGTCGGCCCCCCACCAGTTGGTTCT